GGCCGAGCAACTTGAATGTTTTAAAATTACATAAATAGGACACATAGACATACATTTTTTTTTCTTAGACTGTATAACAAAGGGAATCAATAATGCTTTTATTCCAGTGTTCCAGAGACCAGCACTATATTTGGGCTCATTGACTGCATTTGTTGGTTTCTTTTTTTGAAAACATGAGTGGCATTGGTCCATAACACAGGAATCACCTTTGAACTTGTCTTCCATATGTTTCCAGTGTGGGAAATAATAAAGGAGAGAAATATTTTGAATAGATTCAAGGTAGTTTAGATTTTACACACACATTACAGAGTTCAGAACTGCAAAAAAGCACATTTAGTATCAGCTATGAAATCATCTTTTGCCTGCATCACTTGAAAAGAGTCAGATATAATTAACATACATCAAGAAAGCAATGAGCAAAAAGAGACATTTCTATCACCATTACACTTTGCTGTTTGGAACACATTGCCATGGAAAGTGGCCAATAATAGACACAAATACACCTTGTTTCTACAAATACAGTTACGGGTTTTTGTTTTTTTATCTAATAGCCTTATTGCGGAAAAAATAATACCACAGCATGTTGGGACCTCGAAAAAAATATTTAGAAGTAGGGATGCCAATCTTTTCACTTCACCCATGAGAACAAAAATATGCAAACATTTTCTCCCTTGTGATTGAAATCATGAGAATCTTGTTCATTGTGTGTGTGTGTCTGTGTTTGGCCTTTCAGTGCTTTTTATAAAAGAATTTTAGCTTGTATAGAAAACACTGCAGAACTGCAGGGTTTTTGGACAAAGTCCACATTGCAAATGTGGGGTGGGAAAATGCTGATATTTTCATTCTCACTAAGTCTCTCATGATGATTTAAAAATATTGTGATATTATCATGTGCTGAGATACCCGCCCTTACCAGTTGAGGATGAGAAAATAAACAGATATTCTTTACATCTCTATATTGAACCAACTTTCATGATCAGTAGACTTTCACGTGTTTGTGTTTGTTGCTAAACTGAATTACTTGAGACGGTGGATGCATGAACAATGTGTCTGAGCTTTTGTGTGTGAAAGTGTATTTTGAGGAATAAAGGATGACCACGTACATCTGCTGATAATAATTTGGTTTTCAGCAAAAGGGGGACTTTTATATGCTGGGTTAGCAGAGACTATTTTGATGTGGAGTTGGAGGAGGAGATGAACAAGAATCTTTTACTGGGCCAAAACTCTTACCTCTCAGTAGAAAAGGCTTAAAGGGGAAGGTGCAAGAATGTAGAATAGAAGTGTTTTGCAGTATGATCATGCCATTCTAGCTGCGTGCTGCATGCTCTGATCTGAATGCCCGGAGGTCATTGTGGGAGTGCATAGGTCACACTGGAAACGATTATGTGACTGTTAATATGTTCTTGGAGTTCAGTAATACTTAACTATGTAGCAAGCTTGAATCCCAGTTTTTGTGGAAAGGCAAGGTATAAAAGGAGCTGACATGGTGTGGTGTCATGGTTTGAGTGTTGATCTATGACTCTGGAGACCAGGCTTCGATTCCCCATTCAGGCTTGGAAACCCATGGGTGACTTTGGATGAGTGACATATTCTCAGCCCCGGAAAAGCTTGTGATAGGTTTGCCTTATGGTCGCCCTAAGCCAGAAAAAGCTTGAAGGCAAACAACAACAACAACAACAACGAAAGTTGAATGATGATGGTGGAATGATGCTGAAGATAGAAAGAGTGGGTGATGTTGCCTAACACCATACTACCTTAATACACTGGTCCAATTTTATTTTAGAAGCCCCCAGTGGTGCAGTGGGTTGAACCCCTGTGCTGGCAGAACTAAATACTGACAGGTTGCAGGTTCGAATCCAGAGAGAGTGCGGATGAGCTCCCTCTATCAGGTCCAGCTCCCCATGCGGGGACACGAGAGAAGCCTCCCAGAAGGATGGTAAAACATCAAAACACCCGGGTGTCCCCTGGGCAACATCATTGCAGATGGCCAATTCTCTCACACCAGAAATGACTTGCAGTTTCTCAAGTTGCTACTGACACGACAAAAAAATTTTTAGAAGCTAAACAAATTGGACCTGGTTAGTCCAAGGATGGAAGATCATCAGGGAATACTAGAGATTTCCAGATGTGGCAAGAAAATAATTTCAAGGAACCATTCCAGTTGACAGTATTGAACTAAATTAACAACTTCACAGCATTCCATGTTCCTACTTGAAAATTAAAAGGTTCTTAAACTTTTTCTTTCCTAATGAAGTAAGAGAAATGTCCTGTTCCCTTAGTTCTAAGTAGCTATGCAACTCTCTTTTGGCGTATTTCTCTTTGTTTCTATAGTTTTTGTGTGTGTGTCGCTTCTGGTATGAGAGAACTGATGGTCTGCAAGGATGTTGCTCAGGGAACGCTCAGATGTTTGATGTGTACCAACCTTGCAGGAGGCTTCTCTCACGTCCCTGCATGGGGAGCTGACAGAGGGAGCCCATCCGCGCCATCCCTGGATTCAAACCTCCAACCTGTCAGTCTTCAGTCTTGCCGGCACAAGGGTTTAACCCATTGCACCATAAATTTCTGCTTTAGCGTGGCTTCACTTTAGACTTAGTTATTCAGAGTCTCTTGCTAACAGAACTTTGGCTTAGATTCCCATTCCTACCTTTCACAAAAGGCTATCATATCCAGTGGGAATTTAGGAGAGGATCTTCACTATGGTTGTTCCACTAGCTAGGTTGTTCCTTCCTATGAAAGTCAGTCTGGCTTCCTCTTTATTTCTATCGGTTGGCAGGAGGGAACTTTTTTTAAATTATAAGGTATTTCTGTTGTTATTTAGTCTTGCCTTTTAATATACATGTCTTTAAGGATCTTAATTCTACAAATTATTTCATTCCATTTTAAATTAATGTTAATGCTTTTATCTTAAGGCTTTAGTTGTGCTTGTAAGCTGCCTCCAGTCCCCGTTCTGGGGAAAGAGTGGGATATAAATGGATATAATAGCAATTATAACAAAAATAGGAAGCACCAGAGTAACCACTTTAGAAACTAGGTTTACAATGCTCTGTCCTTTTTCTCAGAGAATGCAAGATGGTACAGTTTGCTCTGCATAGGTGCACTGATATGCCAGGAGAACAAGTTTAGCAGATCAACGTTTTTGTTGCAATGGTGTTAGGCACCAGCTTTGTCTGTGTAAGTATGTGTGGTCAAATAAGCTGTCGGATGAGAAGATAACTTCATAGTTGTGGGGCGGGCAGAGTCAGCTTCTTTACATTGAGAGAGATGGATCTCACTGCAGTTTTTGCACACTCCCCCAGAAAGGGGCTGGCAAAAATGTGAATGATTCCCTTTGAAGCTAATGCTGTGCTGTGTTCTTGAAAGCTGCACTATTCCCTTCTGAGATCCAAACAGTGATCAAATGGAGAATTACAGGATGTTCATATCGATTATTTGACATCAGAAGGCTATGTTTTCCACACAGTTCACAAAGAGTCTTTCTGTCTTCCATGGGGGTTGTGTGGTGTGTGTAGATGTGTATATACACATATATGCAAACATAGCTATATATAGATATATTTATATATGCATGTTTGTACACACACATCTAAATACAAAAACATCTACATTGAGCTACTCAAACAGAGCAGCCATTGAAATACACAAGAAAGGGGGAAACCATGAAATTGAACAAAATTTGGCTACCAGTGTTGTTCTTTACTTAGTTATATGATTTTAGCATTTTTAAAAATACTGGTAGTGAAATTTTGTTCATTTTCAAGGATTCCTCCTTTCTTGTGGATTTTAATGGCATCTCTGTGTAGTCTGACATGGTAGTTGCTAGAGTGGTCCAGCATTTCTGTGCTCTCAAATCATATGCTGTATTCAGGTTGGTTCATCAGGTACTCTACTTTAGCTGATTTCTCTGATTGAATTAGTCTGCAGTGCCTTTCATGTTTGGGTTCTGCGTTTCCTTGGTCCCTATGTAGACTTGTCCACAGCTTTGTGGCATACGGTAGACTCCTGCAGAGGTGAGAGGATCCCTCTTGTCCTTTGCTGAACATAGCATTTGTTGGATTTTATTAGTAGGTCTGTAAATAGTTTGTAGATTGTGATTCTTCATCAGCTTCCCTATGAGGTCTGTGGTTTTCTTGATGTAGGGTAAGAACACTTTACCTCTGTATTAGGCTACCAGTATTTTTTTTAAAAAAACTCTAAAATCATAACAATAAATAAAGAACAACACTCAAAAACAGGGGGATTCCAGACAAGAAACAATCTGGGCCAGCTAATCACCTCCCAACAAAGGATTTCCCCAGACCTTGAAAACTACTAGGCCATTAAATGCTAATCAAAGTGGCCAATTGTTACTTTCACACGTACCTCAAACAGACTACAGTTCTTTCTCCCTCCCTGGACATTCCACAGATATAAAAACCCAATTTTCCTAGTTTTCAACAGACCTCACAACCTCTGGGGATGCCTGCCATAGATGCAGGTGAAACGTCAGGAAAGAATGCTTCCGGAACATGGCCATACAGCCTGAAAAACACACAACAGCCCAGTGATTCCGGCCATGGAAGCCTTGTACAACACAGAGATTGTTCTATAGTTGTGTGCTACAACTGTCTAGTGGCAGATGTGTATATTGCAGGGATACTGAAGTTCATATCTTTTCCCCCAAAACAATATGCTCTATTCCTTTATTAACCTCTTAACAAACAAACATGGGCAACAGACATTTTCTCCAGCATGGAGGACGCTCTGATAGAGAAAGCTGTTTCTTTGTAATTCTGCTTGATCCCCAGAACATCTGTCCCTTAAGAAGTTGACAGCAGTACCTATTGGTATAAAAATGAGCAAACTGTTTTTAAAAATGCTTTCTTGCTTTCTTGTTGATAAAACTCCTTGAACTCCCTAGGCTTCACTTCTGAGTTGACAGGTACAGAATAGCATTCTAAGTGATAAGCAGATGGCTGTTTTTTCAATGTTCAATATTTTCTATCTTCTTCTTTTTCCTACAGAGCCCCTGAAATCATCCTTGGTTTACCCTTTTGTGAAGCAATTGACATGTGGTCTCTGGGATGCGTCATTGCGGAACTTTTCTTGGGCTGGCCTTTATATCCAGGAGCTTCAGAGTACGATCAGGTTGGTGTTATTTCCAGTTTTGTTGTTTCAGCAAGAATCATAGCTGCCTTTCACACATAGAAAAGCAGACAAACAAATTAGAAATAAAAAATAGTACATAGAAAAATGGTACATACCTTGAATTTTCAATGGAAACAGAAAGCAGCCTTTCATCATGGTTTTCTGTGGGTATGGAAGAAACACCAAATGTTGCTACACTGTCTTTTAACATCTATTTGGTTTGTTCTTTGTAACCTTTTTATAGCTAGAATGGTACACCAACTGTGTTTTAGACCAAGAGAAACTAAGATATTCTATCTTTTTGATTGGCAGCTGCTGGCCTCCATGTTAGTGAGTCATGAATCTGTTCCAGGTTTTAGTGTAAACCTTAAAACAGTGTGGCTCTTTGGTGGTCTGAGGATTGGCCCCAGTCCATGATCCATTAGCTCCCAGTCCCTGTTGAGTTTTTAGGAAAGAAAACAATTGTTGTCATTGGACACAAATATGGCAATGGTTCAAGGCACTACAGGAATTTTTTTGCCATCACTCCCATCAGATACAATGATCAAGTAGCAACAGTAAGAACAAACCATGGAACCACCGACTGGTTCAAGATTGGGAAAGGAGTATGGCAGTGCTGTATATTCTCACCTGACGTATTCAACTTGTATGCATAACACATCATGTGATGTGTGGGACTTGATTAATCCAAAGCTGGAGTTGAAATTGCTGGAAGAAACATTAACAACCTAAGTTATGCAGATGACACCACTTTGATGGCTGAAAGCGAGGAGGAGCTGAGGAGTCTTCTAATCAAGGTGCAACAAGGAAGTGCAAAAAATTTAAAAAACCAAGATGATGGCCACCAGACTGATTGATAACCGGCAAATAGAGGGAGAAAACGTGGCGGCAATGACAGACTTTGTATTTCTAGGCACAAAGATTACTGCAGACGCAGACTGCAGCCAGGAAATCAGAAAATATTTACTTCTTGGAAGGGGAGCAATGGCCAATCTTGATAAAATAGTAAAGAGTAGAAACATCATACTGGCAATGAAGATCTGCATCGTTAAAGCGATGGTATTCCCCATAGCAACCTATGGGTGTAAGAGCTGAACCGTAAGGAAAACTGAGCAAAGGAAGATAGACACTTTTGAACTGTGGTGATGGGTAAAATTCTGAGAGTACTTTGGACTGCAAGAAGATCAAACCAGTCCATCCTCCAGGAAATAAAGCCCGACTGCTCACTGGAGGGAAAGATGTTAGAGGCAAAAATGAAGTACTTTGGCCACATAATGAGAAGACAGGAAAGCCTGGAGAAGGCAATGATGCTGGGGAAAATGGAAGGAAAAAGGAAGAGGGGCAGACCAAGGGTAAGATGGCAGGATGGTATCCTTGAAGTGACTGACTTGACTTTGAAGGAGCTGGGGGTGGCCACGGCTGACAGGGAGCTCTGGCGTGGGCTGGTCCATAAGGTCAAGAAGAGTCAGAAGTGACTGAACGAATAAATAACAACCCATCAGATAGGTTTACAACAGTGGTTCTCAACCTGTGGGTCCCCAAATGTCTGGCCTACAACTGCCAGAAATCCTAACAGTTGATAAACTGGCTGGGATTTCTGAGAATCATGGACAAAAACACCTGGGGAACCACTGGTTTGAAAGCACCACTCTGATGGACTTTATCCAAAATGCTAGCCCTAAACACAAGAAGAGTTCACCACCTTGGAAAAACCCCAAAGTAGAATCACTGGCATGAGAGCTACCACCTGCTACTGATGTTTTCCCCTCTTTCTATGTTCTTCCTTGGCCTTTTCTTCTTCTATTAATTGTTTTTATTTTTCACGTCCTTGCTAATAAAAAACATTCTTAACTCCTAAATCCTTAAACTTGGTTTTTCAAATTATTCATCTGTAGTCTTTTTAATATAACCGTGACCTTAAGTGAGTTATAAAGAATCTCACACCTAAGAGGTAAAAGGTTCTATAGTTGGAGGTCTGGACAAAGAATGAACAGAGCAGGTCTCCTTTGTCCATCTTCTATTTATCCATAGCATGTATCAGTGCTGGCTTCATGGTTAAATAATTCTCAGACTGTGAGGTTTCTCTTCCCATCTGCCAGAGAGGATTGAGCCTAATGGAGAGGGAGAATCATAGAGTTGGAAGAGACCACATGGAGCATCCAGTCAAATCCCCTGCCATGCAGGAAAAGCACAATGAAAGCACTTTGACAAATGGCCCTCCAGCTTCTGCTTAAAAGCCTCCAAGGAAGGAGCTTCCACCACACTCCAAGGTAGCGAGTTTCACTGTTGAACAGCTCTCATGGTTAGGAAGTTCTTCCTAATGTTCAGGTGGAATCTCCTTTCCGGTAATTTGAACCCATTGCTCCAAGACCTAGTCTCCAGAGTAACAGAAACAAGCCAGCTCTCTATTCCTCTTGACATCTTTTCAAATATTTAAACATGGCTATCATGTCTTCTTTCAACTTTTTCTTCTGTAAGCTAGACATACAAAGCTCCTTAAGCTGCTCCTCATAGAGCATTGTTTCTTTTTTCAGGTTGAAAAGGGGTGACACTCCTTGCTACCTAAATTCAACATGCATAGTGTTACAAACAAGCTATGTTATTATGGGATAGCAGAAACATTACTATATTTGTAAATAAATAAATAAATAAATAAATAAATAAATAATTTACAGAGGATTGACAGGAAGGAGATTTTTGAGATAGCCAGCAATACTGGGCTGGAATATAATCATCCCAAATTTCTGAATAAAAACTTATGTACACAGAGATGCAATGTGAACTTCTGACTATCTTGCTCAAACAAGTCCTCTTGATATTAATGTTTGAGAATCAAAGCCAATGTTGTAAAGAGCTCTTTTGGCAAGAAAGTGCACCCTCAAGGCATACATGCCTTCTTCTTACACCTTTATTATTCTTCCTTTATCTCTCCAGTTTGTGGATAACACGGTGCGTGTCCATCGGCTTCAAAGGCTGCAGGAGGAGTGTAATGGAGTTTAGCTGCAAAAGGAAATATAATTATGTAGCAGCTAGTTATTTCATTACCTAATACACAGTAAATATGATTTATGGTTAAAGTCTGTAGGCATTTGCATTCTTTTACAAGTCCTTAGTTTGAGTTTAATATTCTGTGCTTTTGCTCCATTTCCTTATTTTTATATGATTAGTGTAAACATCTTCTCTTACTCTGATAACACAGATTCCAACCAGACCAATGTGGATTTTTTCATCTTTCCTTTTACAGATCCGGTACATTTCACAGACGCAGGGTTTGCCAGCTGAATATTTGTTGAGTGCAGGGACAAAGACAACAAGGTTTTTTAACAGGGATACAGACTCACCTTATCCACTGTGGAGGCTAAAGGTAAGAAGTGGTTCTCCTATATCCTTTACTTCTACTAGATGTTTGTATTCACTAACTTTGAAGTATTTTCAATAAATATATTAGAATCATGAGAATGGGTCAATACACATCGTCTGCAAAAAAAAAGTCAATGGATGACTTAAATGAGTAGAATTGAGTGCATTGTTTGATTGGCAAGGACTTCAAAACTCTTTCCCTGCTTGAGATCAGAAATAAAGTCATAAAAAGGTACTCCAAGGTAAGTCACATACAGATAACTCCTGATCTTCTTTTGGGTATGAATTTGGTAGCTAGTCAACTCATCTTAGAAGTGTTCTTTCTCTTGAGCATTCAGTGGCACATATCTAAATCTGTTCATGAGAGGAACAAATTGATACACAAAAGAGATTGTACATAAACATCAAAAAGAACTTAATTGTACCAGCTGTTCCACATGGAACTGAATGACTCAAATGGTAGTGGGCTCTCCTTCTTTGGAGATCTTTAAATAATAGATGCTGGATCTAAGATTCTAAAAATTCTATGAAAGACTGGTTGGATTTTTGTTAACTATGATGATTCTCTCATCACTACCCAAATGAATAAAACCATGTGATGATTGAAGTCAGTTCTTAGGTTGACCCACCCATCCAGTTATTATATCCACCACATCGATGTGCCCACCAGGATAATGTCAACAAGTTTTGATAAAAACATTGAATAAGTAACATGTGTCTCTGTTGGCCCCTAAAATAGGAATTGGGGATGTGTTATATCCTGAATGTTCCATTTGCTTGTGTAGGATGCCAAGGTACACCTGGGGATAGTCAAAATAGGCATGCCAGAAGCCCCATTTCCTCCCCCTCCCACTTCCTTTTATCTCTTCTTTCTCACCTTTGCTATGAATAGAACTCTTTACTAAAGTGGATCATGAGGAAAGAGGTCTCTCTCTAGCTAGATTTAGGCACCTCCATGACCCATATGTGACCTGTGTGCCATAGGATCCCCTCCCATTCTTTGAAACTATGTGCTGCTTAATCATAGAATCCTAGAGTTGGAAGAGACCTTGTAGGCCATCCAGTCCAACCCCTTGCCAAGAAGCAAGAAAATCACATTCAATGCTGTTTGGGTTGATTAAAAATTGCTGTTTGGGTTTGATCAAAATTTAGTAGTAGCTCAGGAAGATGCATTGGATTTGAAATCATGTGCAAATTTTATCTGAAGAGGATAATATAAAGTTTGTCTGGAATTGAGCCAGTAGGGATATCTTGTGTCGATTCTGTAGCGTCCATCTGAAATATCAGTGGATGTTATGTAGATATCAACATGTAGGTAACTGGCTTTTTTAATTATTCTAAACAGACGCCAGATGATCATGAGACAGAGACGGGAATCAAGTCAAAAGAAGCAAGAAAATATATTTTCAACTGTTTGGACGATATGGCCCAGGTAAGAAAGTAGCTAAATATCAGATACATCACAAATTTCCAAGCAGAAAAAAACCACCATTATTTCATAAGTCTAAAATGGGACAGAATGTGATCAATATGGCAAAAGCTGTTAATGAGGAAAAACACAGAGTAAGAGAGGTTGAAGCAGTTTGTTTTTACATGAGTCTTCAGGGAATGGGGAATGTTTCACACATATCTCCACTCAGTTAATAAATTCAGTTTGAATTCGGTTTACAGAAACTGAAGTCAGCTGAGGACCTGTGAGGAAACTGAAGGGAAAGAGAGAAAATAGAACATTCAAAGCAATTATAAAAATAGGGTGAAAGACAACTAATCACGATTGCCACATCAATACAGTTGGATGGTGTGGAACTTGTGACATAATAACAGCATGTTCTTCATTCTATGCAAAATCCATTTTGATTTTATAAGCCCAGAGAAAAGTGGGATACACCTAACATACACTTTGCACATTTGGTATGTAAAGGAGTCACAGGATTGTAGCCACTAGTCCCAGTCTACCTTCAGCAAACCTTTGCAGAAGTCAGCTGAGTCCAAGTGAAGCTGAGTATGACGAAGGGAGTCCTTGTTATCTCCAATCAGCAAGCAGAAATATCAGAAAGTCCTGTCCCACCTACCTGAGACTTCAGGAAAAAATGAAGAGGAGCTCTGCCAGGATTATCTTCAGGCTATTTGGGGAACTTCTGGCAACCCATGAATTTGAGATTTCCCTCCCTTGCTCTAGGGCCTGCCAAAAGTATCAAAAATGTGTATAGGTAGGGCCAGTGAGTGGGATTTAGTATAATTTCTTTGTGTCCACATTTTCCAGAACAATGGATTTATTACTAATGCAATTTCACTTCCAGGTGAATATGACCACAGACTTGGAAGGAAGTGATATGTTGGTGGAAAAGGCAGACCGGCGGGAGTTTATTGATCTGTTAAAGAAGATGTTGACAATAGACACAGATAAAAGGATAACGCCGATTGAAACGCTGAACCATCCATTTGTCACCATGACCCACCTACTTGATTTCCCTCATAGCACTCAGTATGTATTTGTTTTCCTCACTCTGTGTTTGGATTGGAGACCTTGGAAAGAGAGTAGAATGTGGGTTGTGTGGGTCTGGACTCATAAACTGTCAGAAATGTTTTTGGGGTAATTGCACTTTCTCTTTCCTAAAGGTTTGAATTTTAGTCCATCTGAACAGGGTGCATATGAATACATAGTGGCATCACTAGGGTGCAGTCACCCCATGGATCAGACCATATAGAATCCTTAGTAATTTTTGTGTACTTATTCCTTGTAAGTGGTATATCAATTAATGTAATGACAAAATCAGTAATTATAGAAAACCAATGGCTACAAAAACATCAGTACACACTTATAGTTCATAAACACAAAATCACAAAATTCAAAGCATTGTTGTAATTGGGTCATGACAGCTATGACTAGAGCACATGTGCATTAGAAAGTTCAAAAAGTAAATTAGCATAGATTTTTAGTCTTTTAGGTATATACATGCAGTACATGCAGTACATGCAGTGCATGTAAGATGAAATTTCAGAAATGTTTTTGTGGTTATAAATAACTGCAGGAATATTTTTATTAAAAATTACATTTCTCCATGCATAGCAGAAAAACACCTCTAGACCAGGTGCATTGTATGTTTCAGGAGTGGGACATATGGGGCATGTTTAAACTTATTGTGGTTCAATTTCAAATTTCACTGATTTTATGGTTTAAACTCAAAATAGCAACAGCAATTTCCATAGGGAAAAAAGCAACATCATGGTGCTTGGTAAATTGCATCTCAGTTACACAATGTACTGCTTTGAACCACACGTGCTATTAAAGCTAGTTATTTTTTGTACCAGTTCAGTATAACCAAGGGGCAAACTAAGAATGGGCAACTTGGAAGCCCCTGAACAGACCCAGAAGTGAAGTGGGCAGATCAAAAGACAACCTGGCGAAATTGCACTATCTAAAAGAATCCTCCGCTTTGTGTGACTGTGGAGCAGAACAGACAACTCCACATCCGCAATGTCCTGCCCCATGTACAGAGGAAGAATTGTTGGAGGCTACAGGCAATGCAGTTGCTTTTGCGCCTTTTGGGTCGAAAGATATTTAGCCGCTTGTGCTCCTTCTATTTTTAACAGTTTTTATACTAATTTATGCAGTGGTTTTGATATGAAATAAAATAACTCGTTCAGTTTCCTTAAAGAAACCTAGGAAATGTCATTTGGCAAGGATGATAGTATAGAAAGTCTACTCTTCTACTTCTCACTACCCTGATCAAATGTATAGTTCCCATTGTTTCCTGGGAAGAAGTAATGCCTATTAAACCATTGTTAAGTTCATGGTGTAAAAAGGGAGTGGCAAAATTAACTTATAGCCCTCAGAAATGTTAGTAATTTTTGTGTATCTTATATTATTTTTGTAAACAGTGTCAAGTCCTGTTTCCAAAACATGGAGATCTGCAAGCGACGTGTGAACATGTATGACACGGTGAACCAGAGCAAAACACCATTCATCACCCATGTGGCCCCAAGTACATCAACCAACCTAACCATGACCTTCAATAACCAGCTCAATACAGTCCATAACCAGGTTAGAGAAACCAATTGTTGTATAACTTGAGGCAAGGAGTGGGTGAGCACATGCTTGATCAGCTATCATTTGCAAGGTCTTTGTCTGCACTAGCTGCTTCCCTGAACCTGAGAGCTTGAGTAACATTTGCAACATGGATCCCATGCAAAATGGATCCATCAATCTTAGAATTTCAGTTTTCAGTTTAAAAACAAAAACAAGCTCCTCTTGACTCCAAACAATCTGTTTAGTTTTATCCCACCTTTCCTAAAAGATGCACAGTGTTGTTTAAGATTACCTTCCTTAATCACATGGTAATCTTGTGAATATGTATTGACCTGTCATTCAGCACAAGATTCAGTTTGTCTGTTTTATTTGGAACTAACAGTCATATAGGCTTGACCTTTTAGAAATAGACAAGACAATATAGAGAGTTTTTCTTTCTTTCTTGCTCTCTTTCCTTCACACTTTCTCTCTCCATTCCTTTCTTTTTCATAACTGAGAAATACATAGTGTTTGCAGCAATTCGTGGTTCTGACACAGTTCTCATTTTTAATGTTTTGGGAGTGTTTGCATGTGTGAGAGAAAGAAAGAGTACCTTTAGTCAGTATCAACAGTAAATGATGACCTCATCCTTATTTACCCCTACCTAGCTTCTTCCCTTTGTTTATTCATGCTCTCCTTCCCTAGTGTTCTCTTCCCTTCTTCTTTCTGGTCGCCTTCTTTCGTTTCCTCTTTTTTTAAAAAAAAAAATCAGTTTGTTGTATTTTGATTATTTTTTAAAAAAGGGAAAGCACAACCTAGCCTTTTCCAACATCACCATCTCCTTCATATTTTGTTTTTATTTTATTTTAAATCCCATCATTCCTTTAGGCCACCACCCTGGCTCCCACCTCCACCACCAGTGCCACTATTTCCTTAACCAATCCTGAGGTCTCCATACTAAACTACCAATCTGCACTCTACCAGCCCTCGGCAGCATCCATGGCCGCCGTGGCCCAGAGGAGTGTGCCCTTGCAGACAGGAACGGCGCAGATATGTGCTCGCCCTGACCCCTTCCAGCAAGCCCTCATCGTTTGTCCTCCAGGCTTTCAAGGTAAGAGCCAAACTTTGTTCTCTCTCTTTGTTCTCTCCTTTGTTCTCCCTTTTCTTCTTGCCTCCTTTGAAGGACACCTGGAAATGGTGTGGAGGAAACCCGCCTCTCCCTCTCATCAGATAATCTGAGCAAAGGTGGGCAATTGTGGGCTTCCAGATGTTTCGCTCTGTAATTCTAAGCCACATTAGACAGTTCAGCTAGTAAAAAAGGATATTATAGATGCTGCAATAAAAAAAATTGGAGGACCACAATCGCACAACAGTGAACTCTTGGAATATCCAGTGAATTCCATTTTGCTTCATAACAGTTAGGAAGAACTACCGTATTTCATCGCATAATAATCACCATTGCATAATAACACACCATTTCTTGGGTGCCAGTTTCAGTATTTTATTATTCCTCACATAATAGTCACACCCTTAATTTAGGCAGCCTCCTTTCTGTAAACAACCACTATTCCCTTCCACTAATTCACCCATTTGTTTGTCCATCCACCCACTGTTTCACCCACCTGCTGCTTCACTCAATCACTCATCCACTCAGACTCACTCACCCATGCACTCACTCACTCACTTACATGTCCATCCATTCATTTGGCCACCTGCTTCTGATAATGCTGTTTAGGCAGACGGATGAGCACTCACTTGAATGATGTGCCCTTGCTAAATGGGGCTAGCAAGTGGTTAAAATGTTTAACTATGTAAAAAAAATCTGGGCAGTCTTGTATATTTTTTCAAGTTTAATTAGTTTAATAAAAAGTTATTGTCTCAGTAAAAAAAGGCCCACCCCAGCCCTTTTTTCGTCATGTAATAGTCACATGCCACTTTTTTTATTAAAGGGGAGGGGAGTGTGAGTATCATTCAGTGAAATACGGTATCCTCAAACAGATCTCCTTAGCAGAATAAAGAAGAGGAAGGAGAGCCATATATACCACCTTGATTTCACTGAAGGGAGGAAGGATGCATTTGGAAGGAGATAGACTAGTACATAYAACCATAGAGTTGGAAGAGACCACAAGAGCCATCCAGTCCAACCCTATGGAAAACAATGCAGACAGAAATGTGGCAAATAATAAATGATCAAGTCAAACATCACATAAATGATCAAGTCAAACATCACATCTAAAGTCATTTAGATGTGATGTTTGACTTGATCATTTATTATTTGCTACATTTCTGTCTGCATTGTTTTCCATAGGGTTGGACTGGATGGCTCTTATGGTCTCTTCCAACTCTATGGTTCTATGTACTAGTCTATRTTCTTCCAAATGCATCCTTCCTCCCTTCAGTGAAATCAAGGTGGTATATATGGCTCTCCTTCCTCTTCTTTATTCTCAAACAGTCCTGTTAGGTTCAGTGAGAAGGTAACTGTCCCAAGTGCAGTAGAGGCTAGAACCTGGATCTRCCAAATTGCAACCCAACAATCTAACCACAGTTCATTCAGCCATGCATATTAGTTGCCTATTTGATTGTTCACAGAAATGATTTATTGTTCCCTCTAGTGAGGTGTTCTCTCAATTTAACAATAGTTATATTTTTCATTTGCAGTTTTTCCACTTTCATTGGGGTCCTACCCCCCTAAGGCCACACAAAAGTGGCTTGGGCTGCTTTTGCTTGCACGATTAGATTACTGTACAGTGTCGCCACTTCCAGTTTTCAGTGGGATTTCATTCCCTAATGCTGTGAAATTGAGAGATAGGGGAAGTCTGTTTCTTCACTTCCTGCTTGTAGCCTTTTCCCAAGAGCGGTGCTGGCTTTTGCACATCTGGGCTCAGCTGCCATCTGAAAACCACTGTCACCTGGCTCCTTCCCTCCCTCCCTTTTTCCCTCTCATTTTTAACTAACGATATTAAAGTTCTTTGCAGATATTGATGTCTCGGTGCACTGCTGTGCAGCAGACGTTTTATCCTTTTTATGTGGGGTTAAAATAACATAAAAGAGCTCGAGGGTGAAATCCTGAAAAGTCCCCTGAGTCTTATTTACAAAAGCTACAAAAGGAATTTGACTATTTTGGGCAAATTTTTATCCTCAATGATTTTGTCAGCTCAAAAGGCACAAAGCGAGCAGGGCAGCCAAAAGGATGACAGACAGCTGGAGTCTTAATTTCTACCCAGGCTTTTAGCAACAGGCATTGCTTCCTAAAGAGACTCGGTGTCTTTCTCAGCTGCTCTTTTACGGCAACCCGTATTGGGAGAATATTGGAATGTATCACGGTCTTAATTTCTTAATTCATTGGCGAGGTTTCATTTCTACCCCACCCTTTCCCAATGGCTCAGGGGTGGCAACAACTGTTTGAAACAAAACAAAATGGTTTTGAAAATCAGCACATGTCCAAACTATGCTTGTTAATAAAAACAGCATTAAGAAATCAGTTGAGGCTTTAAAATTCAGTATTAGAAATAAGTCAGGGTTGTAAGAAGATGACGATGTTACCCAACTCAGGTATGTTAGAATATGATTTTCATTACTAATGAGAAGGAGATATTTGATTTTTCCTTTCTCATTTGAAGAGATGACATGTAGCAATTGAAGGAAGCTACTCCAGAGACTAAAATAAAAACCAATGAATTTAAGTTACAAGAAAACATCCAACCTAAATGTTAGGAAGACAAAAATGTATTTATTTACTCTATTTATATCCAGCCTTTCGCTATCCCAAAGGAGACTCAAGGGAGCTTTACAAATGGCAACTATTTGATGCCTTTAGAGAACAAACACTTAAATACATTTAAGTTAAAATTTGAACATTTAAAAATTAGAGTTAATATGCATATAAAATCATGTCATCCACAATGATAATCTGGGGCCGTTCCAAAAATCATTGCACATATTTTGTAGTTATTTTTGCACTGTAGGTAATCTCCAAAGGCTTGACCCCAGAGCCAGGTTTTCACTTTCCTTCTGAAGGCCAGGAGGGAAGGAGTTGCTCTAATATCACTGGGGAGAGAGTTCCATAGCTGAGGGGCCACCACTGAGAAGGTCCTGCCCCTTGTTCCCACAAGACATGCCTGTGCAGGTGGTGGGACCGAGAGCAGGACCTCCCCCAACGATCGTAGCCTCCTAGGTGGTTCATAGGATGAGATACGTTTGGACAGATAAGCTGAGCCAGAACTGTTTAGGGCTTTGGAGGATAAAGCCAGCACTTTAATTGTGCTCAGTAGCAAACTGGCAGCCAGTGGAACTGACACAATAGGGGGGTTGTGTGTAATATCTGTTTGCTAGTGGAACAGATGGCCTCGAATGATGATGAACCCTTTTTCTTTAAAGGTCTTTGAACAGATTTTAGATGGGTATTATGCATGTGTGCTTTGGTTGTATATTTCTGCATAGCAGAGGGTTGGACTGGATGGCCCTTTGGGTGTCCCCTCCCCCAATTCTGTGATTTGATGGTTCTTTGAAGCTCTCTGCATGATAGAGCATAACTTGGCCATTCTCTCATTCTGAGCTACCTCACAGAGCTGTTGTCAGCTTGAATTGCCTCACAAAGTTGTTGTCAGAAGCAGGGAGATGAACCATTTATGCCACTTTGAACATATTGAAGGAAAGCTGGGATATAAATCTAACAAAGAATGACAATAATAAAATAATCCCAAAGAAATTCGCAAAGAAGCACCCAAAATGTGAACACAAAATGTCACTTTTTGCATATAAACTTTTTCACTTCCTTGAGTCTCCACAGTTTCAAAACAGTCTCTGCTGGAGGATTTTGGCTTAGCTTTAGGGCTTTTGTGCATTACCACCAAGAGGGCCATTACATTTTGAAGTTTCTAAACATAGTAAACAAAGATACAAATAAAATTGAGGTCTCCAGTTCAATTAAAATTAACTCATACCTTCTTAATTCCCAGCTGTCCAATGCCAATCCAAATAGGAAGGTGTGTTCCTGCTTGAAAGTACCCATGCATTGGCCTCAATAGATTTCAAGGTGGAAGAGGAGATTTTGTTAAAAATACTTCTGTGCTTTTCTTTGCTATTTGGAAGTGACTCAGGTGTGACTTATTGTAATCTTCCCAACCTGTTGGTTTATAACTCAGAATTCTAATTAAAACAAAACATTTAAAGTATTGTCGAAGGCTTTCATGGCTGGAATCACTAGGTTCTTGTGGGTTTTTCGGGCTATAGAGCCATGTTCTAGAGGCATTTCTCCTGACGTTTCGCCTGCATCTATGGCAAGCATCCTCAGAGGTAGTGAGGTCCTCACTACCTCTGAGGATGCTTGCCATAGATGCAGGCGAAACGTCAGGAGAAATGCCTCTAGAACATGGCTCTATAGCCCGAAAAAACCCACAAGAACCTAGTAAAACATTTAAACTTTGTCAGAAATACTTCACACAATCTGGAGAAGTTAAAATGTGTTTGTTTGGTGCTAAAATAATGTCAAGGTTCACACCAACCTAGGTCCAACCTTGCTCAGAACTGGCTTAACATACACCTTAAGAAAACATGCAAATGTCAGTAGATCAATAGGTACAGCTTTGGCGGGAAGGTAACGACACTCCATGCAGTCATGCCAGCCACATGACCTTGGGGGCATCTATGGACAATGCTGGCTCTTTGGCTTAGAAATGGAGATGAGTACCAACCCCCAGGGTTAGACGCAACTAGACTTAATGTCAAGGGGGAAATTTTACCTTTACTTAACACCTAGAATAGGATGTATAATCTGTGTTGACATATGATTAAAGCAAAGCTGAGCTATTTGGAAGAATTCAGAGGTGATCAGCAAGGTGAAAAAGGAATAATGTGAAGAGGGCATGGCAGAGACTTAATTTGATCTATGTTAACCTTAAGAAACTGGGGTGTTGTCAATTGCACCTGCCACAAACAATGAGGGATGAGTCATGTCTAAATCACAGGTGTTCATTTAATATAATAGGAAGCTTACCTGTCTTAAAAATGTTTGGCTAGTGGGAAGAACTGCCCAGGAAAGCTGTGGGCCCTTCCATACAGCCATATAACCCAGAATATCAAGGCAGAAAATCCCACAAAATCTGCTTTGAACTGGGTTATCTGAGTCCACACTGCCATATATTCCAGTTCAAAGCTGATAATGTGGGATTTTATTCAGCTGTGTGGAAGGGGCCTGTGTCATCTCAACCACTGCACTTTAGTGGAGTTTTGAACTTAGTTTGGGTAGCATGATAAGCAAAAGGTTTTCTGTCAAATTGATCCTGCTTGCAAGATTTATGGACTTATTCCTCTGGTCTGTTGGGGAAAAATGGAAACGAGGTTCTGCCAAGTTCATATGTCACAGTATTCAAGTTCTTTGGTTTGTTTAGTCTTAATGGGAGTGATAAACCAGCATGCACAAGCATGTTGAATTGTAGCTAAGATGACCAAATACGTGTTCTGTCTTATATAATGCAAACATTATCACAGTTGTGCTTAGCCTTTATGGTGTCTCTTCCTCAAAAGATTGGTTGGTGAGTTACTCTTTGTGTTTTTCTTGCCAGGACTGCAAACGTCTCCTTCAAAGCATGCTGGCTATTCTGTCCGGATGGAGAATGCTGTCCCAATAGTCACTCAGGCCCCGGGGGCTCAGCCCCTTCAAATTCAGCCAGGACTTCTAGCACAGGTAAATATTTATTATATAAGATCAATTCAGGCCAGTTATTGGCTGTAATGTGATGAACTGGATGCAGAATCCAATGTGAGGTTGATCCATACCTGTAGATGCTGATGCATATTTCGAGGATGAAGTGCTACATGATATTCCTCTCTACTTTACATGATGCTTTACTCATTTGGGAAATGCTGTGCTGACTAGCAGAACCTGTAATCCAGCTCAGTATAAGTGCTGGAAGAAGCAAAGACCACCAGCATTGAAGTGATGCTCCTACATCACTGGACTGGCCATGTTGTCCAAATGCCTGATCACCGTCTCCCAAAGCGGTTACTATATTTTGAACTCAAGAATGGGAAAAGTAATGTTGGTGGATGGAAAAAGAGATTTCAAGATGAGCTTAAAGCTAAACTTAAAGAATGTGGCATAGACACCAAGAACTGAGAAGCCCTGGCCCTTGAGCGCTCTAAGTGGAGGCCAGCTGTGACCAGCAGTGCTTCAGAATTTGAAGAGGCACAAATGTAGGGCAAAAGGAAGAAACATGTAAAGTGGAAGGCGCATCAAGTCAACCCTGACCAGGGTTGCCTTCCATTTGGAAACCAATGTCCTCTCTGCGGGAGAACATGTGGATCAAGAATAGGGCTCCACAACCACCTATGCACCTACTGATAAGACACTTCACTTGAAGGACCATCATCCTCGAGCTACGAGGGATTGCCTAAGAATAAGAAAGAAAAGATTGTATATGGTTTATCTTTCTTGAGGCATTCAGTTATACCCTGATGGGGTATAAATTCAGTAAATAAACAAATAAATAAAGTATGCCTCTGCTTTCTTAGGAATTTCAATCCTCCCGTTAATTGATCCACCTTGTATTTCAGCCTGCAGTGGCTAAGTGTGAATGCAGTCTGCATGTGCCAGAGCATTCCAGTGTTCTCAGGCATCAGCAGACTCCCAAATCCTGCCAAAACTTTGCTTTTGCTGGATAACATTCCAGTGCGTGCGAGTTCAGTGGCTTTCCTTTTGCCAGCTGCCAGCCCAGCTTATCTCGGAAAGACAGCGTGGAACAGAACTTGAAGCTTGCGTGATCTTCTTTTCATTAGCTAAGTGCTCCCTCCTATTCCCATCGAGAGGCTTTGTTGAGGAATCGCCTCTTTGGCATGAATAAAGTCCACCTCTCTGAAAGCCTGCCATCTTTTCCCAAATGATGCAGTTTTGGGGTGGTTAGAAGGAAGAAAAAACTATCCTTGTTTAGAAATTAAAAGTGGAAGCTTCCACAAGAAAGGAGAGGAGAAGAGTTTTTTCTTTCTTCCCAAGCGCCGAGAAAGAAAGGTAGATTTGCAAACATAAATATGTAAAATATCTGTAGAGGAGGAGTACAGTGTGAGATGAATCGAAGAGCCAGGCCATGAGAATACGTAATCATGTGCAGTTTCAAAACTAAGACCCAAAAACATATTACAGACCTCACAGTTGGCGCTAGTACAGTTGGCAATTTCAGCAGACAGACTAAAAACACAGGGCTAAACCAAATGCTTCTAAGTTGAAGCAGTCATGGAGACAGTTCGTGTCACAATTATATCACTTAAACGATGTTTTTTTAAAAAGATGAAGGATGAGCAACTCTAGAGTTGTTGTTTTTTAATGGTCTGTAAGACCATAAGAACTAACATCCTGCATTCGAGACATTTTTGTGAAGAGCTACTTCCCTGTAGCTGTAAATAATAATATTTATATTTATCGTATCAAAAGCGAATTGTATTTAAAAAAACACAAAGTTTAAAACTTGGTATTATACTAAATATCCTTTGACCAGTAGCTGGCCACTTGGAGTGACTCCGGTGCTGCTATAAGGAGGTCCTCCATTGTACATGTGGCAGGGCTCAGGTTGCATTGTAATAGGTGGTCTGTGGTTTGCTCTCCTCCACACTCGCATGCCATGGACTCTACTTTGTGGCCCCATTTCTTAAGGTTGGCTCTTCATCTTGTGATGCCAGAGTGCAGTCTGTTCAGCACCTTCCAAGTCGCCCAGTCTTCTTTGTGCCCAGGGGGAAGTCTTTCATTTGGTGTCAGCCATGACTTGAGGTTCTGGGTTTTTGCCTGCCATGAGAGAAGAGACATGAGGAAAGCCTCCGTGCAGGATTGCAACACATCCAGCCATCTCTTGAGCAATGTATTTGTAGACAGCTGATTCTGTCACACCAGAAGCGAATTGCAGCATGCAGCCAACCAAACAACAACAACAACAAGCCAGTAAAGGTGGTCACAATGGTGATCGGCACACTGGGTGCAGTGCCTAAAGACCTTGGCGCTGACAAAATTACCATCTGTCAGCTGCAAAAAGCCATCCTACTTGGATCTGCATGCATTATTTGCCAATGCATCACACAGGCCTGGACACTTAGGAAGTGTCCGATGTGTAATCAAATACAAAAGCCAGCAGAGTGATCTTGTTTGCTGTGTACTCATCTTGTTGTGTATCTAATAATAATAATAATAATAATAATAATAATAATAATAATAATAATAATAAACATTTTGAATGATGATCAAAATTAACTAAGAGTATTATGGGATCCTGAAGATGTGACATATTTATTATGACATATACTTTAACGGACTAACTCAGAGAGATAGATTTTCCCATTAGAAGAATGCTGTGAAGAGAGAAGTTGTATCTGTTGATTTCTCTTTTGGGGAGCATGGGGTTATCCTATGCAACTTTTAAACACAAACTTCCTCTGGCAGAAGAGAAGAAAATAGCCACCCTGTTTTAGTTTCATGATGCAGTGAAATATTTATATTCAGTGGAGGCTGATGAGTTGAAGTTGGTATATCATCTTCAGAGATGTTGATTGCAGGAAATGTGATATGAAAGTTGGATGAAATCTGCTACGTGCAACTCTTACAGCAGGTGGTAAAACCTTATCCTTCGTAGCCAACCTTCAGAGTGTGTTTTCACTCACATGAGACAAGTATATCAATTTGCTTGTCTACATGGACAAGTGTGAAGAAGCTCTAGTTCTGCTTTTTGCAAACATAGCAATAGCTTCTTTAAAAGGTACTGCTTGGTTTGAACTTTTTATGGAGAGTAAAAAAGCTTTTGCATAGATGAACTTGAGAGTCTGTTTTCTCAATGTGTATATGTTTATGTCTGTGTGTGTTTGTGTGTGCAAAAGTGTGTATGTGTTTATTCCCAAAGCTTGGGTTTTGAAATAAAAGTGAAAATCCAGTTCAGCTAGTTTTCAGCAAAGCCATTCCTACCATTGGTTAAACTAAAGTAGCAGATCTTGTATGTAATCAAAAGACATCAAGTCCTTGTTTGTTTAGTTGGTTATTGCTATATTTTTGCATCTAAGTAGGCAAGGATATAGGGCAGTATTATTGTTTTTTTCAAAGTACCCTGTAGGGAGTTAGGTACATTTATTTATTTATGATATTTCTGTCCCGTCTTTCTCGAACCCCGAAGTGACTCAAGACGGCTTAGCTGTGCTAGGGATATGTGGAGAGATGTTATGCATTGCTGTGCTTCAGACCACAAAAAAGACAGAAGGCGAGGAAGAAAAACAAAATATGAAGTTTGGGAATATGGAATAAAGTAAAACACGCCCTTAGTAAATTTGTGTAAGCATTCATGGAGACTGTACAGCTTCATCCACAAGTAAGTCCTGCTGATCTCGGAGAAAGCTGATGGAATCAGTCTACAAGATCCTCTAAAAGCCTGACCAAAGGAAGGGCAACGACAGCAGGTTCCCTCCCTAGGACCTTTGAGGGTGCATGGAGTGCCAAAATTGCCACCTAAACATTCCTAAAACAAAAGTGTTTAGAAGTGCTGTTCTAATTTAAAAATCTTGTCTTTTTAAAAGTTAGTCAATGTTGAGTGACCATCAAATCATCCAGGCGTCCCCTGGGCAACGTCCTTGCAGACAGCCAATTCTCTCACACCAGGAGTCACTCCTGACACGACAAAAAAAAAGTTAATGTGGAGGGACCATTGTCCTTTTCCTTTTGCTTATTTTTTATTGGATTGTTGCTGGGAGGTGACAGTAAATACGGTCCAATGAGCCTTGTGGGATCAAGAGTTAGAAAAACAGATAGACTTTAGCCATGTTTGAAATATAGGATCAGGGGTTTCATGGGTTATTTGAAGACAGAAAGCATTAGTTGTCCTACCATGTACTTTTACCAGGACCAGTGCCCCAATGATGCCCTAAATTATTCCCAATTCCAAATGTTAATTTTTAAAAGATTTGTTATTTTTTGCTGTTAGAGCATAGTTTGTTACTATTCCTCATTTTTTAAAATAATACACTTAGATGTTCCCAAAGCTGCCTTGAGTAGCTCCAATAAAGTATGAAAAATTATAGTACATAAAAGTAATTATTGTATCAGTTGTTAGGTTTTGGAAAAAAAGGTCATCCCACCCTCTTACTCGACAAAGTGACATGCTATAATAATATCATTACTTTTCACTACAATTACTATTGTATGCCTAAATTCTAGCACAAATAGTCTGTTCTTCTTTGGATTCAAGAAACAGATTATGCTTGGAATAAGCATTCCTTACATCTGATTACAAAATGAGAGGTTCTTCCATATTGAACTTCGTCATTTTCCACTGCAAAGTCCTCATAGCCCCAGGTATTAATCTGCCACCCTTGGATTGCAGGAGCAAGAAAATATTTTAACACATGCATTTCTTAAATCTGTACTGGGAAGAGATTAAGTTGCCCTGTCGTGTCATGCAGGGGGAATCCGAATGTGACCTACTTGTAAAATAGTATATGACTCCAAAATTGAGTTATTTGCGCAAGATGACACTTGCACATGTCTTAGGTGACAGTATGTGCTGCATGACGCTAGCACAGCGGTGCGACTGCTCAGCTTGCAGAATATGGACACAAAAGCTTTGGCACTGCCTAGTGTCAGTATAGAAAATAACCAAGAGAAGAGGATTAAAGATACGCCCACAGGTCTGATGAGATCTAATATGGTCATGTATTTAGATATCCCCACTGATGATGTAGGCTGTATACTATTTCACAAAGTCCCACTATTTTTTCTCTCAATTGACTGATGGTTCATGAGTAACTTCACTTCTTATCTACAAGGTTCAAGCTTAAGAGTTGAATCTTATTCATACTTGTTTAGGGACAAGTCCCATGGAGTCCCATGAAACTTGCAGCTTGTTCTCATGCATGTTTACTTAGGACTTAGCTCATGTCAAACCCAGTAGGACTTGGGGGCTAAATCTCTTTACACTTTTAGTATAAATATACACAAGCATAGATATGCTGGATCCCACAGGTATGGAACCATTGTGTGGTGGGCACCATGAACATGAAATCCCCATTATGTAATGGTTGGTTAGCTCATAGGTTACTAAGCCAAAATGGGACAGAAGGCTTAGCTGGCAGGAAGTTTATAAATGAGTGAGTTTATAAATGAGTCACCTGCAAGTTGAGAGGGGTGGTATATAAATGCAATAAGTAAATAAATAAATAAATTAGGACTGGCAGTTTGTGTCAGTCCAGGCCTTGAGATTGCAGGCCTGAAATTTGAGGGCTAGTGATGGCAGTAAGGTTACATGAAGCAGGTCTTGGGATACCATTGAGTGTGATAAATTAAGCATCATTCCATTCCATTCATTTTTTAAAACAGCCAACAAAGGAAAATGCACACGTACACATACTATTATAAGCATGGGTCTGTAATTTAATGGGACAGTAGATCTCTGTGGAAGAGAAATCTAAGTACGCTACAGAACTAAAAATTCTAGGATTTCTGAGGATGGAGCCATGGCAGTGAAAGTGGTTATTTATTCATCATGTCGGAAGTGAATCGGTAGGGTACAAGTGGTATCAAAGTGCTCCAATTTTGTTGTGTGAAAGAGACCTTAATTAGGCTTTTCATACAAACATTCTGGTCTTAACAGCTGTCTTTGAAATGTTCTTGGCTTATGCTTAGGATAACTTTCAACCTGGTTGCTTTTGTCTCTAGTTTATAGCACTTTGCTCTTTATTCCTTTGCCCATAACTGAACGAGCCATCGCCATGTCTTTGTATTAATTACTTTGGATCTTTCCGTTAACCCTGCACTGTTTCTAAAGAAGCCAGGCCTGTTACAAGTTGGCAGAGGATTTCCATGATTGTTACACTGAAAACAAATTGTTTTCTGTTCTGATCCACAGCAAGCTTGGCCTAGCGGTGCTCAGCAAATCCTGCTCCCGCCAGCTTGGCAGCAACTGACTGGGGTAGCTGCCCACACCTCGGTCCAGCATGCGGCTGTCATCCCAGAAACCATGGCAGGAACCCAGCCCCTGGCAGATTGGAGGTAAATATGAAAGTTATCTGGTCTCTGAGATACCAACTTGGTGAGAAAACCTCAGCGTCCCAGGACAAGCTTTGGGAACAACCTCCTCATTCTACCATGTCTCTGTGATTTGATTACATAGCTCTTGGGTTCTGTTTTGTATGTGTTTATCTTGAGTATCTGGAATTTGGAATTATTCTTCATCTGGGTAGTAAGCTGCACCACTAGCTCAGCATATATAGATCGGCTTATGTGAAGAAACTACTTTGTCAAGTAAGAGGGTCCAGGAACCACAACCCAGTTGATAGAGAGACTTCACTGTGTATCCTACAGTTGTTCAGACCTCACTTGTGGGAATTCTTGGCAAAATGCTGTTGTGCCATCAACTTGCCTGGGCAGGATTTGCAAACAAAAAGCCACCCAGTTCTAACCAACATAGATTATGCCAGCATTGAAGTGGCATGTCTCATTTATGTTGTCATAAAAGTGCTATGAAAGAACTTAATGGGAAGAATCCTACAAAAGGGATTGTAAAAGATACATTAAAGAAAGCTGTTCTCTTTATTTTTCTTTCTCTTAAGATATAACCAAGATTTCAAAAATGAGCAGAAGTCTGTTTCCTTGTGGGAACAGAAACTGGATGCTTGAGCAATTAAGAAAGGATACTCAAGGAGTATCTAATTGGCTGTTCACTACAAATGCCCCAGTGGCGATCAACAAAAAAGTATAGAAGAGACAGATGGGAAAAAAGAAAATATAGCTAAAACTCTGCCCCTGTCCTTACTATAATGATTTTTTTACAGAAAGAAGAGAAAAATATTCTACAATTACAGATCCAACTAATCCAACTGATTACTAATAACCATAACCACAGATTGCTACATTGTTAGATTACTTTTATTGCTCAAACTGTCCATAAATGGTTTCCAAACTATCAGAAAGTCTTCAACTGGCTCATCATTAAGAACCCGCATTAATTTGGCAATTAAACTTTTAATTAAAGTTGTTGGAGGCATTAAAGGAAAGATATTAGCAGAATATCTATGGGGAAAGATATTAATAGAATAATAATATAGTGTGGGCTGAGAAATATTGAATGGTTTAGGGGGCAGCTTCCCACTCAAACCTGCCAGGAACCACACATCTCATCACTGCTGTTACATTTGATGGCACAACAGCAGCATTTAATAAAAACTTGTGCTTTTCCACTTTAAACCAAAGCATAGAGGGGGCATACACAGTTCCAGGACTGCAATTCTGACTCCCCATGCACCTTGTTTTACTTTGTGGCTTTGTTGACAGTTCACAATAACAGAAAAAGAGGCATCTTTGGGGTGTATAACTTACTGACCACTGACTGCCCATTTAATACAATGCAATTATAACTAATTGTGGGGAATTTCTGTTTTAATGCCACTTCCATCTAGAGAACAACAGCTCAGAAGCACTTAAGTGAGCTGACATAATTCAAGCAAATGAATACCAAACTGATTAGTATCATAAAACTATTTACAGCACTGCATGGGCCTGTGATGAATGTATAAATATATGTGTGGTGTCCTAACCTGACACACAGAAAGCCAAAAGTTGCATATGTGGCACTAATTGCACGGTACCAGTTTGCCATAAACTAGGGACATCATTTATAAATACTTTTTTGTTTGTTTGTTTTACAAAAAATGTTATTTTGCGGCAATCACATTGTAGGCGTTATCTCTGTTTTTAATAAATTAGCAACCGAGAGGACTTACAAGGAAAAAAGCTCACAGCAACCCATTATCATCCTTTTTACTTCCTCTGTTAAATGTTCTTGAAATGCTGCATTGGGATGTCTCTTCTTCACATGTCCCTGAATGTATTGAGAAACTTTCTGCAGGTTTCCTTTTGAATCACTAATAACTTCAATTCTTGAAAATGAAGAGGACAGTAATGCTTATTGATTGCCTTCTGATGCAGATGTGCATAATGGAACCTGGCCCTTTGGCCCCTTCCACACAGCTGTATAAAATCCACATTGAACTGGATTATATGGCAGTGTGGACTCAGATTATCCAGTCCAAAGCAGGTATTCTGGGTTATCTGACCATATTCTGGGTTATATGGCTGTGTGGAAAAGGCCCTTTTTGTGGTGTGATTGGCAGTCTTCTGTTTTCCTCCTTTGGAAGATGTCCCATTTTGCTGTCTTTATTCATCCCAGGCATGTAGCTGGGGGGGGGGGGGGGGGCTTCAGCCCCCCCCCAAATTCTCATGGTGGTTCGCGAAAAGGCCTTACTGGTGCATTATTTAAATTATAAATATTATTTATTCATATCATGATCTGATCACCATACTCAATATATCCCATATGCATGGGGGTATTGGGGTAATGATACAAAAGGTTTGCTAGAGTAGACCCTCTTTCACTCAGACTCAGCCCCCCCCCCCCCCCCCCCGAATCAAAATCCTGGCTACGGGCCTGCGTCCCTGCATCACTTTGCCCCTGCCAAAAAAGTTCAGACCCTCATAATATGAATGAGGAACAAAGAAATCACAGAGTCATGTGGTTTGAAAAACAAAGTTTCAGACATTTGAGCAGATCCTACTTGGGCAATAGATAGCCTTGGAAAAGATAGTAGCTCTGAGCTTCTGTAAAAGATTTGGGGCCCTTCCACACAACCATATAACCCAGAATATCAAGGCAGAATATCACACAACATCTGCTTTGAACTGGGTTATCTGAGTGCACACTACCATATATTCCAGTTCAAAGCAGAAAATGTGGATTTTATTCAGCAGTGTGGAAAGGGCCTTGGGAAACCTTTGGTCTTCCAGATGCTGCAAACTCCATCTGTCGTAACCAGTTGTAGTCTTCTGACATCTGGAGAGACCAAAATTGGCCCACTTACTTTGTAGAGTGCCTATGGAAAGATGAGTTTGCATGATCACACTCAGAGCTGGATCACACCTTTATCCACCACAACATTGAAAGGCAATGCTCCAACTCTCAGAAGTGTCAGTTTCCATGAACCAGTTGTTATGGATGCTCAAAGTTGATATCCGAAACATCTGGCAAACCAGAAATTGAGAACCACTGTGCAAGGCTTTGAGTGCCAACAACATCTTGCTATTGCTTCTGACCTCCCTGAGAAGCCTGCTTCAGTACAAGTCATTTTTCCAGTATGTAATTCTTACGTCTGTCTCGAAGCATCTTCTAACTTACTGAAGGAAAACACTGGGGGAAGTTGTGGGGGAGGGAGGAAGAAACTCTCAACTAAAAAGCCTGGTGTCAGTGCCAATAATGTTTGTTTGTTTATATCCTGCCTTTCTTTCTGTGGACAGACCAAGTGACTTAATAAAAATACAAAACAAGGTTCAGCTAAAATCCACACATACCATCTTCTAGGCCAGTGGTTCTCAACCTGGGGTCTCCAGATGTTTTTGGCCTACAACTCCCAGAAATCCCAGCCAGTTGTTAGGATTTCTGGGAGTTGAAGGCCAAAACATCTGGGGACCCCAGGTTGAGAGCCACTGTTCTAGGCATAGGAGATCGTTTGTCATTGGAGTATATCTGTATATAAATATAAACACAGCCTTTCTTTTTTTCTCTTTTTCCAGAAATACACATGCTCATGGCAGCCATTATAATCCCATCATGCAACAGCCTGCACTTTTAGCAAGTCACGTCACCCTTCCAGCAGCTCAGCCCTTAAATGTCGGTGTAGCTCACGTTATGAGGCAACAGCCTACCAGCACCACCTCTTCGAGGAAGAGCAAACAGCACCAGTCCTCAGCAAGGTATGCACTGAAGGCAGGGGAGGAAGGAGGCAATAAATGTATCTGTAATTGTCCACAGTGCCCTTTGCGGTAAGGGATATGAAAGAGGCAAGAAAGGTATCTGTCATTGTCCACAGTTCCTTTTCAGTAAAGGATGCAAATGACTCCACTGAATTCTTTGGTTTCCTTTTACTACAAGCAGAGGTGGGACATCCCAGGATATAGAATTGCAGGTACAGTCAGCCCATCACATCTGTTGGTTAAGGACTCAGAATTCCCACAAAAGTAGGAAAACCTGAAATTTATGTAAGCCGCCTTGAGTCTCCTGTCAGGAGTCAATTTCTGATGGCATGAAGACATCACAAATTCCCTCCATGACATCCTGACTGAATCAAGTTTCCCTTTGACATTCTGAAGACAGCAGAGGGTGTTGGAAACCATGTTATGGAACTTGTGAAGCAACAAATTCTAATAAGGAAACTGAGAAGAGGGGGAGATAGGCAGAAAAGGTGTATAAAAGGAAGTGGTGGTGGGGAAAAGTCAGAAGTGTCTGTCTTTGCTGCGGAGATATAAGCGGTATATCCATTTCAAAGCAAGTCTGCTTGTGAGTGGTTATTTACTATTGCTATTTAGATCCTACAGTCTGACACCCCCTTGGGGTAGAGAAAGGTGGGGTATAAATAGGGTTAATAAATAATAAATAAATATATATATTTAAAAAACTCAGTTTTTTAACTTGAGAGGAAACCTTGTTAGGAATCTCTAGGTCCTCTGCTGCAACTCTATGATCATCTTCTGTTTTTAGCTGACCTTAGACTCATGTTCACCCTAAAACAAACCTAACATTGAATTTCCTTGGCAAAATTTGTTCAGAGGAGTTTGCCATTATCTTTGTCTTAAGGCTGAGAGAGTGTGATGTGTTGCAGATCACCCAGGAGGTTTTCATGGTCTCCCGGTTCAACACTCAAACCACTATTCTGTACTTGATTGCGATTAGAATAGAATATCATTATTTTATAGCTCAGGCTTTATTGCACTGTTAATGCAAGCACACTGCTGCAACTTGGCTCCAAAAGTCCATATTGCTCCAACCTTATTTATTTACCCTTTTTATACCCCACCTTTCTCAACCCCATAGGGGACTCAAGGCGGCTTACATATATAGGCAACAATTCAATGCTGTGTGTGTGTGTGTGTGTGTGTGTGTGTGTGTATGTATGTATGTATGTATGTATACACAAATATATTAAAACAATAATTGAAAACCAGCATATCAAACTTTAAAACACTTTCTAAAATGATGTTATCCAGCATCATAGTCCATGCCCATTTCAAATCGTCATTGCATCTTGTTCCTCCTCCTCATATTGTTAAAATAAGGAGCCCCTTATTTTAACAGTGCAATCGGTTAAACCCTTGTGCCAGCAGGAGTGACGACCAACAAGTCAGAGGTTCGAATCTGAGGAGAGCGTGGATGAGCTCCCTCTGTCAGCTCCAGTTCCCTGAGTGGGGACATGAGAGAAGCCTTCCACAAGGATGGTAAAACATCAAAACATCTGGGCATCCCCTGGGCAACATCCTTGCAGACAGCCAATTCTCTCATTCCTGACATGGAAAAAAATGTTAAAATATTTCAAGCTAGACAGAGGATGAGGAGGAAAAGGGGGGCCATGCAAGCATTAAAAACTTTGTAAAAAGAAGTTTCTTTGTCCTAGGCTTTGTTAAAGATGTTTCCAGATGAGTCAGTCCAAAGTTGCATTCACACTTCAACTTCTAAGTGCTTGTCTAAAATTATAATGGGTGAAGAGGTCTTCTTTACACATTATATTTTTAGATGCAGAATGCAAAGTGTGAATATAGCAATTTTATCAAGGAGCCATGACTGACTCATTGGCAGACCTGTGTTTTCCTACGTAATGTGTGCAACAGCTTTCAAGATGAGTCATAGGAATATGGGAAAATGCCTTACACCAAATAAGTCCATTGAACTAAGAGCTCAGTATTGTCAACTCCGATAAGCAGCCTTTATCCAGGATTTCAGAAAACCACCTTTCCCAGCAAGGAATATTAAGGGTGAATCATTAAAGATAATTTACTTGGTGAAAAGCCATAAAAATTAATTAGTTATGTGAATAGTTATTAATGCACTGCAGATGTGTTTGTTTGAAATGTAAAAATTCATTCGGAGGACTTAAAAATACCCCAAAAGTTACTAAAAATAGCTCCTCAAATCACTCACAAAGGAATAAATTAAATTAACAGAAAGTGGTGATTAACGGATACTTGTTTACCAGTCGTGTTTGAAAATTAAAGTAATGAATATGAATCATAAATTGGGGGCGGGGGATGAATGAAATTTCCACAAATGTTGTCCAAACTCTGCCTGGTGATGCCAAGGATAAAACCCAGGCCTTTCTGCAAGCAAAGCATTTAATCTGTTGTAGAAAAGTCCAAGTAAAAAAATACACAGCGAGGGATAATCAGGAAGCAGTCATGCTAGATTTGGTGCAAGTCTATGTCATTTCTAAAGTTGCTGCCATCAGGGAATGAGCTCCCGCAGCCACAGTTTCTCCTGTTAATTTGATGTCTTGTTTTGAGTGATTTGCACATCACAGCTACCTTGCTTCTGAATTATGATTATTCTGTCTGCCAAATCAGCCCTGGGAAACAAGAGAGACTTTTCAGCATGGTTAAAAGAACCCCAGAGGTTTCAGAAATAAGTAAAAAAAAATAACTTTAGAGGGAAGAATCTGGCATCAATAGTCCCCCCAATGCAACACAAGGACTGAGCAAGCTTAAAATGCGGCCAAATGGGAAAGATTACCTAAAAGAGGACATGGATAGTTGAGATACTGGGCAGCTGCAATTCACACAGTAACATATATATTTTTGGAGGACTCCCTTTGTTCCTGTTTAAATTTTTGATCCCACTGCTACAACATTTCGGTGACAGGCAGAGATTGAATCGTGTATCAGTAATTTTTTTTTTTTTGTTCTTTGGCCCACAATTTCTCTTGACTATTAAGATATGACTGTACTCCTTACGCATTGTAAAAGGTTCCGGTCTGTTTCCCAAGAGAAGGTTTGAAAGCTTCTCCAGCAGAAGATTTGGACTTGTTTAAATCCACTGAAGTGATGTCTTGGCAAAATTTGGGATACTGAGCTGCTTAAAAGGCCTATTGTTTCTGCTTCGCTGAATATGTGTACATAGCAGATCAAGTTAAATACAGATAATGTGATGGCAGAGGATAGCTTTTGCCTTATGTTTGAGATGATGATCATATCATTCAGACACGGCAGAAGCATGAACGGATTATGCTGGGTTATTGCAAATTAATGTCACTTGGAAGCTGCCGTTGCCTTGCAAAGATACGCAAATCTCAAAGTATAGTCTGCTCAAACGCTCTAATTCTTGGTTTTTGTTATGCTTGAAACTAGAGAACTAGAAATGAAGGAAGACTATACTGTAGAATTAATGCAGCTTGACACCACTTTAAGTGCCATAACTCCATTCCATGGAATCTTGAGATTTTAGTTTTGTAAGGTTTTTAGACTTCTCTGCTAAAGAGTGCTGAAGCCTTGCCAAACTACAACTCTCATGTTTCCATAGCATCGAGCCATGGTAACTAAAGTGTTGTCAAACTGAAATAATTCTGTAGTGTAGATGTCCCCTTGGTTCAATTTTTTAAATTGAGGGATTAGTTTGATCTTTAATGCTCTTAATTGTATCTGGCCTAATGTTATGTGGACAATGAGCCTTGGGCTTCTATACTCCTCCTTGCAAGGAATATATCCCTTGTGAATAAGACTTTTGAAGCTGAATTTGTCGTGATGTCCAAACTTGTATCAACCATAGTTTATCTGTTGCACTCCAGGCCTGGAAACACCAGTGACACCACACCACAGCAGAGTCCAGGAATATATAAGCAAACCATTTATTGTAAAAACACATAAAAAGCATATAAAAATCAGGAATAAGAAAGTAAAACATATAATCACAAAAAGGTTTTGCAACAGGTGATAATCAGACAATAATCCAAATGTGTCATAATGTTCCAGAGGCGATAAAGTCCAGGAACAGCCAGTGGTCACAGCTACAGCAAAAGTACACACTCCAGAAGGTATAAATAGTAAAACTTGAACAGGAGTACATTTACAGGAACATAGAGAACTTCCAGGATATATTACATCCAAAATCAAAGCTTGACATGAACCAGGAACAAGAAAACTCAGGCTTAGCTTCTCACTGTAATGCAGTGTTGCCTGAACTGACCTTAAGGTAAACAACTTGTTGTCTAACAGACACCCATGAAATCATTCCATTTCCCGTGAATTTCCTTTACAAGTTTTGAGGTGTTCAGCTAATTTGTCAGGAATAGCCAAGAAGAAGGGGAAGACCGGAGGCAGACATGGAGGCCTAGCAAGCTATTTTCAACCTGCAGGCTGAAGGTCTCCCACCTCTGCATTAAAACATACAGTATATTCTGGCGTATAAGACTACTTTTTAACCCAATAAAATCTTCTCAAAAGTCAGGGGTCGTCTTATACGCGGGTGTAGTCTTATGCATGGGAGTTGTCTTAACTTTATATTTTAACTGGAAAAGTTGGGGGTCGTCTTATACGCCCAGTCGTCTTATATGCCAGAATATACGGTAATTTAGTATTATGCACAAACAGAGCCTGTATCTTATTCTACAGTGGCATGTACCATATCATTAAATAAATTGTATATTTTTCTTCTGCAATGTTTATCATATTCTGCTTTGAAGACTGCATGGAAAAGCAGATTATGAAAATGTTAACTTAAATTTGCAAATTAAGTGATGCTTCCAACAGGCAGTCATTGATCCAAGAATAGATTACTTTTATTAAAAAATATGGGTGTTTCTACTCACCACACTGGTGAAGTTATAAAAAGAGAGATCATTAGATAATCAACGAAATCCTTTTTCTGGCAATCTGCATTGCTAAGCACAAGCCAGGTTCTGGCCTATGACACAGTAGAGGCTATTTCGTTAGTTTCTGGATGTATATGAACCCCATCCCTGGTAGGTTTTGAAGTGCATTGTCTCGACAGATGTTTGAAACATTTGCATTACTACACTGCCTTACTTTTGTCAGCAAAATTTAAATGACCTCTCTGTCAAAACCTGGCTTTTAATGAGCACTAAATTCCCATTAATAGTAGGGAATGGATATCTAGCTTGTAAAATGGAGAAGTATGTATATCTGACCTGCTTTGAATGAGTTCAAAGAACCAAAAGTGCAACTGCTGAGGGAAGGTGGGTACAATTACCCAACAAATATGACATTTTCCTTCAGTCATCAGATTTCTAGCACTTAAGTAACATAAACTGTAAGCTGAGCATTTGAAAAGAAATGTTAGGCATCCAAAGAAGAAATAATAATAACAATAACAACAATTACTACTTTATTTTTGTATCCTGCCTCCATCTCCAAAAAGAGACTCAGGGCAGTTCACATGGAAACAACATAGTTAAAATATAACACACCAAAATTCATAAAACAACATCATAAAACAATATAAAACAGACAACATAACACAGTATAAAAGCAACCATTGAGCAAGCAAAGAATGGCCTGAAATAGTAAACAATCTCTGGGCTCGGGCGTGCGGGCTGGTCAAATCAGTTATGAGGACAGGGCTTCCAGATAAAGTGCAAAAGCCAGGTGACAAAATTAGGAATGAGGGCAATATGAAATAGAGCACTATATCACTGGTTAGGGAACAGTAGTAAGGTGCAAGGGCTAGATTTTGGGTCATGGCTTAGGGCCAAAATTTTCTGGGGAACCATCTAATCAAAAGCACAGTGGAGCAGGCACAATTACAAAGGAAATTGAAATGCAGAAAATTTAAGAGTTCTTGGAATCAATGGTTTTCAATATCTACCTCTGGAATGCTAGAAATTTGGGGATTTAAGGATAATTTCATTATTTGGGGGGGGGGGGGCAGAGTGTTTATTGGAGAACTATGCCATCATTAACATATCACATAACTGTACCCCTGTGGAAATCTTAGAGTGAATTTGCAACCACTCCCATTCTAGTTTAAATCCTTAGGCTGTCCTTATTTCCTTTACTTTGTTGAAATTCCAAGAATATTTTGCCTATGTGAAAAAGTAGTACAGAAGTCCTGGCCAGCTAATAGAAGAGGAAATGGGTAATCATAGCACATTGGACCAGGCACTTTCAGGACATATGGTTCCTTTGGATCGGCTTCTTGTTGGCGTTATTACATACACATGTCTGGTGTGCTTCTTTCGAGTGAAGAATATTCCATATCTCTCATTGGTATTCAGCAGGCATCATGACTGCTACTGTGCAGCCATTTGTTATGCAAAGGACTCGGTGCAGTGTGAGTTGTCCATAATTCCCTCCCTTTGATACATCCCAGCTAGTCCTTTGTTAGCTTTTAGACCAAACTGAAGATTGAGACAAAGCCCAGTTAAAGAATGCTTTTGCTGGAGCCAAAACTTTACTTTACTTGTCTTCTGTTTTCATGCTTTATCGCATCCTGGAAAGACTCAAAGATCTCAAGTGTGAGGCAGACTGGTTTCTGGGAATATGTGAGAAGTTCTTTGGGAAGAGTTTAGTGGCTTCCCAGGGCCTTTCTACACAACCATATAACCCAGAATATCAAGGCAGATATCCCACAATATTTGCTTTTAACTGGGTTATCTGAGTCCACACTGCCATTTAACACAGTTCAATATGGGTTTTATAGAGCTGTGTGGAAGGGGCATCAGATCCCTTTCAACCCTCAAATGTCAAAGGTACTGAAAATATGGTGCTTCTCTGATCTCTGTAATTATTCAGGGTTCTAGCTTTCATGGGATCAAATCATGATAGCAGCAGGTGAAGCAGAGCAGCCATATTTTTCACTGTATTTTAGGTAAATGTGTGCTGATTTCACTTTTTGTAGTGTCCCAGAGTAACAATGCTTCAAGAGCATAAGGCAAATGAAAAGGGCATTTCACAGTCCCAGTTGTCCAAGTTGGGGAGAGGTTATGGCAGTCATCAACATATCAATACCCTATCAGGCCAGAGGATCTAAAATGTGGCAATATTATCTCAATATCTTCTTAAGAGGCAAAAGAAAAAGCAAACATTTGAGTGTGAGGGTGTGTGGTGGGGAGTGAAGACTCACTAAAGGAGTCATTATGACCCCCCCCCCAACCCCAATAGATGGGCAACTATTGAGATTTGAACAAACAAGTAAATTGTTTGGAACAGCTGGCCAAATAACTACCTGTTTCTCCTCTTTCTGTGTGCATTTGGACTGGAATTTTCCAACAATATTATTTTAATTCAGCGGCAAAGTACCATAATTTACTAGGAAGTGATGAATGCCTCATGGCAACAAGAAAGCTTTCCATCATGCTTTGAAGAGGTTGTGGTGAAGCTATTACTAGAAGAAGAAAAACACTCCCCTGAACCTCACCATGCTAGAGAAGTGGCTTATTGTAACGCACTCTATGTGAAGCTGCTTTTGGAAATGGTTCAGAAACTTCAGCAAGTCTGAAACTCTGCTGCTAGAATGCTGACAAAGAGCATCTAACTCCTTCATTGAAACAACTCCTCTAGCTCCTGGTTTGTTTCCATGCACAATTCGAAGGGCTGATCATTACCTACAAAGGATATTATTCACGATACTTATTAGGCCCAGACTATTTGAAAGACTCCTTTTACAAGCTTGCCAGAACCTTAAGATCCTCAGGGGAAGGCTTTCCCTTGGTCCTTTTGATGAGGTTCATCTGATGAAAACACAGAAGAGACCTTCTTAGGGTGCATCTACACTGTAGAATTAATGCAGTTTGATACCATTTTAACTCGTGATTCAGTGGTATGGAAATAAATAAATGCATAAGCCATTTGTAACATCCAAACTAGAGAACCAGTGTGACATAGTGATTAAAGCAGATATGGGCAAACTTCGGCCCTCCAGGTGTTTTGGACTTCAGGTCCCACAATTCTTCATGGTCCAAAACACTAACCCAGGCCTGGTTAGTGCTGCCCATGCCTGGATTAGTGCTTTGGACCATGACTGTGGGGACCAAAGTTAGAATCCCTGCTTGGCCACAGAAACCCTCTGGGTGACCTGAACAAGTCACAAACTTTAGAGTATCGGTAAGTTGGAAGCAATGTGAAGGTGCACAACAACAGCATCCAAACTTGAAGCTCAATGTAGTTTACAATGCAATCTGTACAGAAGTGAATTTCTTTACTGCTAGTATAAATATTGAAGTCAACTGTAGCTGATTGAAAGTTTAGTTTCTTCCTTAAAGGCAATAAAGCTGAAATCGTGTGCTTGGTAGTAAGCCTTCCTTGACATAACTGGTCTTCCTTCTGAGTCCCAAATAGATAAGTGGCCAAGAATACAGAAAACTAATAATGAAAAAAAAGGATACTGCAGTAGTGGGTTCATATGCATTTAGCATCTTCCTATCTCTTTTCAGAAATGTGTCCAACTTTGAGGTGTCCTCTTCTCAGACGATTAGCTCTCCGCAGCGGTCGAAGCGCGTGAAGGAGAACACCCCACCTCGCTGTGCCATGGTGCATAACAGCCCTGCCTGCAGCACTTCTGTCACTTGCGGGTGGGGCGATGGGGCTTCCAGTACCACACGGGAACGGCAGCGACAGACGATTGTCATTCCTGACACGCCCAGCCCTGCCGTCAGTGTTATCACCATCAGTAGTGACACGGATGAGGAGGAAGAGCAGAAGCATGCACCTACCAGGTACGCGACCATAAATTCTACAAAAGGGATTTTACCATTTTTAAAACCTCTATAGGGGTGCATCTACACTGTGGAAATAATGCAGTTTGACATCACTTTAACTGCCATGGCTCAATGCTATGGCATCCTGGTAGTTTGATGAGGAACCAGCACTCTTTGGCAGAGAAGGCTAAAGACCTCCAATGATTCCAAAGCACTAAGTGACATTAAACTGCATTAAGTTGGCAGTGTAGATCAGGCATGGGCAAAGTTTGGCCCTCCGGGAGTTTGGGACTTCAACTTCCACAATTTCTAACAGTCTCACTTAAGCGACTGAGAGAGAAAAGGAAAGGACCTGAGGCTGTCAGGAATTGTGAGAGTTGAAGCCCAAAACACCTGGAGGGTCAAACTTTGCCCATGCCTGGTGTAGATGCAGCTTAGGAATCTTTTGATCCTCTGCAAGAAATTGACCATAGAGGCACTCTGGAGATACTGTTGGCAAGAGGTACAGCTATGGGAGGATCAGAGGAGAAAATTGGCCAACAGTACAGTGCTGAAATTTCCTCCTCACAACTCCAGAGCCTTTATATAACTTATAAAGGCAACCATAGTATGCATATTTAGTTAACCTTTGAGTAATTGCCATTTTGAAGGCTGTGTTATTGAGATTGGATAGTGTGTATAACACAAAGTACTGGATGGTACTTAAGCTTATTCAGTAATAGTTATGGATTAGTATGTACTGATGTCATGGTTTTGGTCTACAAATAATCCACATTTACAGTATGATTCCTAAATCTGTAAGGTAGTGGTTCTCAACCTGTGGGTCCTCAGGTGTTTTGGCCTACAACTCCCAGAAATCCCAGCCAGTTTACCAGCTGTTAGGATTTCTGGGAATTGAAGGCTAAAACATCTGGGATTGAGAACCACTGCTGTAGGGGATACATTCCAGGGTTTTCCGTGGAGACACAGAAATAATTTCCAGAAGAAACACATTGTAGAAGAGTGCAGGAGGACCTAGCAATTGCTTAGAGAAAACACCTATCTAGCATTTTTAGGTTCTCTAGTGTGACCCTGTGTTCAACCTCCACCAGAAACATACTATAGAAACATACTGGAGGATCTAGAAAATATGTAAAGCAACTACCTCCTTAATATTTTTGGGCTCTCCAGCATGACTGTATGGTCAATGTCCAATGGAAGCATGCCCTGGGCTTAGGATCATACTGGAAGTCCTAGAAAAAAGCCTAGAGAGAATATTTTTTTGGACACAAATAAATGAAACTGCAAGTTGCAGTCCCAAAGATATGGGAGTCATACAATACTGCATTAATTTACAGTGTATCTGGAAAATGTATCCAGTCTCCAGATTGGATCCAAACAAGGCCCTTAGGCCTTGGTTTGCTACAGTGCCAACAAGTGGAAAATATATTTTGTGGGTTTCATAATGATAAGGTTGGTGCAGCTGCATTATTCCCTATATAAATAACATGCAGAAATGTTATGACATATAGGAGTAATTCTTGGCTTTGAAATAAAATGAAGACATATAGAAAACATTGATGAAACTCATTTAAATATTTGTTTTTGTGGACCATATTCACCGAGGCAGTGAGGAAAAAATATACAAGTATATGTCATTACATTGTAAATTGTAATGATATCACAGATAAAATGTTATATCAAAATTTAATGTTATATTAAAGTCACAATTTAATTTTAGCATTAAAAATATGACAAGTCATCATGCAATAAAATATAATTCATCCAATCAAAAAACTATTTTCAAAGTGACAAACATCAATTTTTCTTAAGAATTTTTTTCTAATATATATTTTTATATAGTCTTTTTTGAGATACAGTCGTACCATTATAGTCCTATAGTTTTTGAGTAGCATATTCCAATGAGTAAAAACAAGAATTAGGCAATATAAAAGGCATACTATGCATTTCAGAGTACAGGGAGCCCCCAAGTTACAAACATCCGACTTACAAAAAAATAATAGTTAGGAACGAGAGTGACACAGCAGGAAGTGAGAAAAATAAACCCCTCGGAAAGGAAATTCATCCCTGGAAGAGTTCTGATGGAGAAAAGCTCCATCCACAGAAGTTTTATCACCAATAATTGTTTCCACAACAAGTCAATTTTTTCAAAATCCAGTTATCATAGGGACAGAACATGAGGCAAAATCATCTGAATAGGGGAAAAGACAGCAAAACAAACACCTCAAGAGTGTTAACTTTTCCCTATGTTATCCAAAACATCTATCTATCCATCTATCCAGCTAGCTTTGGCTGGAGCTACACTTAAAAAATGCACCTGTTCTGAAATACATTTAATTTAACTTAAGAATAAACCTACAGAACCTATCTTGTTCGTAACTTGGGTTTGTAAGTCTAATGTTTGTAACTTGGGGACTGCCTATAATAAGAAACCGAGTGCCTTCTGATGTAATATAATGAAAGACTGCCACCTAACGGAGACAATTGATACAAGTGAAAACTTGAAGAGTCAATTTGCTATGCATTTTTGTATTGAGCAAATTAAAATAAAATAGCAAGGCACACCCTTAAATTCTTGCCAAAATAATTGAGTAATCGTTTTTTTTTAAAGAATACACACAGAGACCCAAATCCAATTGCTAGTTGCTTTGAAAGTAGACCCATTTAATTGAACAATATATAAATCTGGGTTGTTTTTCAGGCTATATGGCCATGTTCTAGAATCAATCTCTCCTGATGTTTTGCCTGCATCTATGTCAGGCATCCTCAGAGGTTGTATATAAATCTAGTTGAACTACTTTGGTTGGAACCAAAAATTTAATTTGAGGGGGGTTTTTTTGGGCAGAAGTTGACCATAGAATTGTCCCGGAGGATTCCTGGAGGGTATTAATGACATGCATACATAATCAAATCTGCAAAAGCTAAATCCATAAATGTGGATGGCCAACTACACATACTGTCACTGATAGAGGAGCCCAAATGTACATTTCCACACTGACATGTACGGAAGCCTTACACGGGAAGGGATTGGTTTTGTTTTCCAGCCCGGTGTCTAAGCAAAGAAAAAACGTCATCAGCTGTGTAACTGTGCATGACTCCCCTTACTCTGATTCCTCTGGCAACAACAGTCCCTATGCAGCGCAGCGCCGTGGAGGAAATAACAATGGAAACACCTATGATGCCAAGGGAGTCCCGGAAACACATTGCAATGGCAATCCCCGGACAATTATTGTGCCACCGCTGAAAACCCAGGCCAGCGAGGTGTTAGTAGAATGTGATAACTTAGTCCCAGGTAAGTTTGCAGTGTATTGCAGTAAAATATGAGATTTTGCACAAAGATGTTTTCTTGAATCCTGTCAATTACCTTGCTTTGTTGCTATTAGGAGACCTCTTACATGTTATGCATTTCATACATAAAGATTTCATTGTGTGCTGACCAGTGAGTTTTGTTGGAATTTACCCTCTACCAAACTGATCCATAGTCACTAGGGATGTGCAAAAAGTCATTTGTGTATCATATGTCAGAAATATTTCATAAGATTTGTACATTCAACACAAAATTAAGAAACTTTGGGGGCGCCTATGCAAAAACATTAAGTTTCAAAACATTGACCTATGACTTTTCAGAAGAGTTATGTTAGTCTCATAAGTGGTCCCAGGTCTCTCTCATGGGTGCTGCTTCTCCTCCAAAAGGGCTCAGTTTTGTTCCTCTAAAGACCCCCAAGAAGGATGGCAAGGCCTGGAGTTGAGGGAGAAGCCCTGCTCTTTCCCCTAAGGGGATGACAAGGGGGGATCTGGGGCAGATGGACTGGAGGGAGAGATGTCTGGCTGGTGGCTGGGCAAGGAAGAAGTCCTCCAGCACATGACCAGCCCAGGGGGAAACAGGCAGAGATCACACTTATATTGAGGCGGTAAATGTCTTCTACCATTGTAACAAGATTCACCCCAACAGCTCTAAAAATGAGGGAGAAACAAGGTGCAGGAGCTTCCCCACTTGCACAATTACATAATGAAAAAATAATGAATTTTTTGTTATATCTTTATAGTTATGCTGCAGACCCCTTACAATATTTTAGAAACACTTTAGAAATGATTCGTTGTCTATCTGTCCCCAAATTATTAATGAGTATTGGAACTTTTTTTCATTGCATACACAGGCCTAATAATCTCTGTGCCATTCAAAATGTCAGCTAGATATCATTATTACTTATTAGGCCACCATTACATATTCCTTTTTTGGGAAAGTGACTGCAATTTTGCTTAAGGTTTGCTTATTTGTTGACAAACTCTGTGTGTTTTATTTATTTATTATTTATTACTATTTCGAACTTTTATATCCCGTCCTTATCAACCCCCGAGGGGGGACTCAAGGTGGCTCACAACTGGCAACCATTAGATGCCAACAAACAAAACAGTCGCAGTGCAGACAGTTTAACATTAAGTAAAACAACCAGATCATAAAATGCATTAAAATATTTTGACCTCTGGATGTTAAGGCTTTCCTTTGGGGGGGGGGGGGATAAGTGAGAACTGGAATCGCTGAGCCAGTGATGTATGTCACTGTAAGTGAATAATGGAATATACCTCTTGGCTCAGAAACTTCAGGCTGTGCCGCCACCAGAGTACCCTGACTGAGTAGAGGGATCCTAGCTCAAGAATGGCCTTAACTTAGATAGGGGTGACATCACAAATCTTTGTCTTTCTTCCCCATCATAGTCACCACCAGTCACCACTCTTCCTCCTACAAGTCGAAGTCCTCCAGCACCGTGACCTCCACCAGCGGTCACTCTTCAGGGAGCTCGTCTGGAGCCATCACCTACAGGCAGCAGCGGCCAGGACCACATTTCCAGCAGCAGCAGCCTCTTAATCTTAGCCAGGTCAGCAAAAACCGATGGAAGATATAATGAGATTTAAGACTGCAGAGCATGCTATATGGCTTAGGTCTGCACTATTTGAAAAGACTGGTATAAAAGTTATTTCTATATGAGTCTTTTAAGCTTTTAAGATCCTCTCTCTCAGTCCCACTTCTAAGACAGACCTAGGTTGCAAACCCCTCCACCATCACCCCATCGAGTGCTGGGCAGCCCCATCTCTACTTCCTTTCTGTCGTTAAAGATATGCTTCTGACTAGTTTTAATGCAGGAGGGTTGCTGTCTTTTAAACCTTGTTGTGTCTGAAATTATTATTGTTATTTACAACATATCTATCCTGCTCTTCTCACCCCCGCAGCGGGACTCAAAGCGGCTAACAATGGCAACAATTCGATGCCGCAATAATTACAATTATAAAAACAAAATAAAATCATACAATGCTTTACACCAGAAAACTGATTTTAATGCAAAATAGGAATTGCTGTCCTCTAAACTTTTTTGTGTTTTAAATGCTTTAAACTAGAAAACAGGGTTTTTTCTTTTCTTTTACTACTGTGGTTGATTTTAGCTGTATTCTAGGACAGGACATGGCTATTAAATAAATGTATTTTAGGGCCCTTCCAGACAGGCCCTGTGTCCCCGGATTTGATCCCAGGTTTTTAAAACTGGATTATATGATTTCCCACTGCCAGATAATCTGGGATAAGCGGAGGGCCTGGGATCAGATCCTGGGATGTAGGGCCTGTCTGAAAAGGCCCATAAATGATGATGATGATGATGATGATGATGACGATGATGATGTTGAAGAAGAAGAAGAAGGTTACATTTATTATTATTATTATTATTATTATTATTATTATTATTAAATTTATTTACTTATTAAATTTTAGGTTGCATGTTATAATTTGGTATATATGTGGGTTTAATTTGGTATATCCGGCTATATTTTGCTATATGTTGGTCTATGTTGGGTCTTGGATGGCCAATATTGTATTTGTATTTATTGTTTTATCAGGCATTGAACGTTTGCTTTTTTGTCATTGAATCCGCCCTGAGTCATTTTGGGGAGATAGGGGGGAATATAAATATTCCCCCCTATTATTATTATTATTATCATCATTATTATTATCATTATTATTATTATTATTATTATTATTATTCTGTTTTACTCTTTATGGGACCCCTGGTGATGCAGCGAGTTAAAACGCTGAGCTGCTGAACTTGTTGACAGAAAGGTTGGTGGTTTGAATCTGGGCAGCGGGGTGAGTTCTCCTCTGTTAGGCCTAGCTTCTGCTAACCAAACAGTTTGAAAACATGCTGCCTTGATGGGAAGGTAATGGCACTCTATGCAGTCATGCTGGCCAAATGACCTTGGAGGTGTCTTCAGCTTAGAAATGGAGATGAGCACCACCACCCAGAGTCAGACACAACTAGACTTAATGTCAGAGGAAACCTTTACCTTTTACTTTACTCTTTGTTCTGAATTGTCCTGTTGGAAGAAATGTAGGGTGCTATATCTGTCTATAAGGAGGCATTCTCATCATCGTCTCCTTGTTTTTTCAACAGGTCCAGCAGCACATCACGACCGATCGCACAGGGAGTCATCGGCGACAGCAAGCCTACATTGCTCCCACAATTGCTCAGGCACCATATTCCTTCCCACACAACAGCCCCAGCCATGGCACGGTCCACCCGCACTTGGCTGCCGCCGCCGCTGCTCACCTACCCACTCAACCTCACCTGTACACTTACACCGCACCTGCTGCTCTGGGCTCCACAGGCACGGTAGCCCATTTGGTGGCTTCACAAGGCTCGGCTCGCCACACTGTACAGCACGCTACATACCCAGCCAGCATTGTCCATCAAGTTCCAGTCAGCATGGGCCCTCGTGTTCTCCCGTCGCCCACAATCCACCCAAGTCAGTATCAGGCTCAGTTTGCCCACCAGACCTACATCAGTGCGTCTCCCGCCTCTGTCTACACTGGGTACCCCCTGAGCCCCGCCAAGGTCAACCAGTACCCTTACATCTAACCACTGGAATGTGGAAACAGACAAGCAAAATAACACAGGATGAAAATGGTGGCTGCTTTTATACTGAAGGATGCTCCAGGCGAATGAACAATGCAATGGGAGGCTCAAACAAAACTTGAACAAAGACTTTGAGGAAGATGCTAGAGGAAAGGAGAGACAAGGTTGATCCCAGTCCTACACTTTTTATTTAAAAAAATGAAATGAAAAGAAAAAAAAAGCTTAAAAGAATGAAAAACAGTAACAGAGAAAAAAAACACTCTGCACCAAACCACATGGTGGGGGAAGCAGAAGGGCCATAATTGTCGGGTCCGGCTTTTGAATAAATTCACCAATAGACTTTTACAGATTATTTTCATCTGATTCCAGGAGACTACATTTAGGAATTTGCTGTTCAGACCTTCTAGTGCAAAGTTTCATAGGTGTTTGGGTATATATATTTTTTGTTAAATTAAGGCAAGAAGCATACACAATTAGGGATTTATCCAGATTTTCAAAAGGGTTATCGTGTTGTCATTGCACTGGTTGCTGTAGCCTAAAATACAAAAAAAAAGAGACAATTTCAAAAGTGTGATGTGTTTTCTGTTGGGAAGAGTAGAGGAACAAGCAAAGAATGAGGGATGTTTTGGAGTACTCCAGCTCTCTCAGTCTCAGGCTTTGTAATTTAGGAGGGGGCGGGACAATTATTCTAAGCAGAGAATAATTATATGGTGAAATCCGGGTCAAGAGGAATATTGGTTCTCATTCTGAACACCCTGGATAAATCCCTGAGATATGTTATTCTTAAAAGTCTTTAATAATGTACAATAGTATCTCCTCTTCCTTACTTGGAAATACTTTTCTTTCTTTTTTTTCTTTCTTTCTTTGGAAAATCCCTTGCCATTTGCAGCCCAATCCTAACAGCTCCTACTCCACCACCACAACACAACCCATATAGTATGCTCACATTATGGCACCATGGCGAGCCAACAGATAATCTCAACTTGGTTAGGATTGGGCTGTTAGTGTAGGAGTAGGCGTTCTAGCTGGTCCTTGGTAGAATGTAGCACTATACCATACATGCACCCTTTTTCTACTTTGTGTTAAACTCCAATGATACCAATAGACTATTCCTCAATGTGATTGCACAAAACGTGATATAACATAGGCATGTAACAAATGTGATTGTCCAGGTATATATGTGTGTGCGTGTGAGTATGTGTGTGTGCGCATGTGCGCTGATGCTGCCTTCTCTTGTGGTGTGGTCCTCAGCACAGCCATTACAAACTGTCACAGTCTTAGTTTTACATCATTCCCTTGTAGTGCCTTACCAAACTACAGTTGCGGTTTTAAGGGTTTACTTCCACTGGTACTTCTAGAAACTAATTGAGACTGGTTGGAATTTAATCTCAGCTCTTTTCCTTCTTTTGGTGTTCCTTATTGTTGCTTTCCTTCTTCCAGATGTTTTGTTTTATTTTATATTTGTGCATTGTCTTTCTTGGGTAAGTTGCAAGGGTCAAGAGAGAGTGAGAGAGAAAGAGATAGAGAGAGAGAGATAGAAAGAACCTATGAGAATGTAAAAACGGACGGGCCTAAGAGGGTTGTATGGGAATTGAAATGACAGGGATGGTTCTTAGGCCCTAAAGCAGCTTTCCAATTGTGTTGGTGGGGATCTTGACTGATTTCCTGTGAAGATGCTCAATTTTCCCCATTAATCTTTGCCATTTACAGTTCTTAGATATATGTAAATATATATTTAATGAAAGAGAGAGGAGGAATGGGGGCAAGGAGAGGGCTCCCAAGCTTGCTTTGGATTAGAAACACATAGTACCTCATGTTAAATTGTGATGTCTGAATTGAAGGTGTGGGGTGGGGAAAATGATTACTTGGGAAGGACTCGATATTTTCACTTGAATGCTTTCACCAGTAAAAGAAATATGAGATTGAGAGGAATATTGTCTAGAGCAGAGTTTCTCAAACTGTGCTCCTCCAAATGTTTTGGACTTCAACTCCAACAATTCCTAACAGCTGGTAAGATGGCTGGAATTTCTGAGAGCTGAAGCCCCAAAACTCCTGGAGGAGCAGAGTTTGAGAAACACTGGTCTAGAGCAGTGGTTTTCAACCTGTGGGTCCCCAGGTGTTTTGTCCTACAACTCCCAGAATTCCTGGCCAATTTACTAGTTGTTAGGATTTCTGGGAGTTGAAGGCCAAAACACCTGGGGTCCCACAGGTTGAGAACCATTACTCTAGAGCTTCGTCCTCAGGTTGGTTTCAGAAGTTTTTTTCTTTCTTCCCTGAAGAAACAATTGCATAGGCACCAAAGCAGGTGGGACATCTACATCAGGGCTCAGTCACTGCCTTCGATTAGGCTGTACTACCTGATCGCAATTTCCAATAAGTAAAAGTTTAATCACTGCTAGGTAGTATATATTGGAGCTGCACTGTCTGCAAAATCCTGAAATCAGACTTGACTTGGACACCCTATGATTATAGCTATCAATATTAAAATTACTATGTTTTCCTTTTTTAAAAAAATCACTGTTCAGATTTGCTAGTTGAGCTCTGTGTCCCCAGCTCTAAAAAAATAGGTTTCCAAAGAGAAGCTGTTATACAATGTAAAATAATACATGAAGGATAACTTACCACTACATGCAAGTGGGTGACTCTCTTGAGTCCATGTTTTGCTTCCCCTGTCCAGACGGGATGCATACTTGTATTGGTGGCCTGTGATCTGCAGTGGATGTATGCCTTCATAGCTATTAAGTAGCTGTATTTGTGACTTCGCAAAAGGAGTGTTTAAGTCATAGGGTGAGAAGTTGGGAAAGGGCAGGTCAAGTAGCTGAGAGGAGGAGGAGGAGGAGGAGGAGGAGGGATCCCTGGGATGGTTAAGGCAAAAGGGTTCTTAAGATGTGTGTTGGCAAGAAAGACAAGTGCAGTTGTTATATCTGGAAGTGGGTGCACATACTTCTCCCTGGAGGAAGGAATGGCTCTCACCTTTGTTGGACATTATTATTTGTTTGTTTTCCCCAACAGCAAATCCTCAAATCCTCCAATTTCAAACTGAGCTTCATTTTCACTTTCCCCCCAGTGTATCTCCCTTTCGTCCCATAAACATTGTCATCTAAATAGCAAGATAGTATTTTCAACAATCCATCCACTTTCTGTCTTACTCTGAAGAAAACCCTTTCCCGTTTCATCCCATTAACTTAGCCTCTCCCCAACCAAACTTTTCATGGATGGCATTCCTGCCCTTTCCACACTCATCTACAATGAAAGCTGCTTGTGTCAATGAAAGGAAGGATTTTATTTTGTGGTTGTTATTATATTATTGTTGTTATTGATGTTAATATGTTATATTTACTTTTTGTTTTAATTGCACATGCATTCCCACATCTTTGTGTTGTTATGATGTTGTTGTTGTCATTGTACTCTTAATATTGATAGTTAATTGTGTAATTTCTCTCCCTGCCACTCAGCATCAGAGTGCTTGCTCCATATGAAGGTTTTGTGGGAAAAGAAAGACAAGGGATACTCTGGTTGAGAAAATATGTATACCACAGAAGAGAGGAACAAAGACATAGCCCCTTCCACACAGCTGAATAAAATCCCACATTATCTGCTTTGAACTGGAATATATGGCAGTGTGGACTCAGATAACCCAGTTCAAAGAAGATATTGTGGGATTTTCTGCCTTGATATTCTGGATTATATGACTAGCTCTCTTTAGATATCACAGTAAAACCTTGACTTCCCACTCTGTGGTTGAGATGTAGGCTCAATATGTTCCCTCCTTAGAAGTCTACCATACCACAGTGAATACACTTGGGCCTGATTGTAACTTAAATAGAAGAACATCAAGTGTCCTAAGGATATCTAGTTAGGGTTGGAAGATTATCCTTTTGGAAACTTGGTTTTGCTGATGCCAGTCAGAGTTGACAAAACTGGGCTAGGTGTACCATGGATCTCATGTACTAGGAGGCAACGTCCTATGTTGTGGTGTTAAACTCACAACAGTTCTCCATGATGGAAGTATTCAAACTTTCGAGAAGTATCCAAACCAGGCCAAAAACACAATTTTAGAACTTGACCTGTTCTTGCTGGGAATATAACAATAGAAAAAATGCTTCCATTCTCACGTGCATCAAAGATTATCTTAGAGGAAAAGCAGTGTGTGAAGCAAAGGCATTCTATGAATTGTTTACCTAACAGAAAGTGATCTCAGTGCTAGTTGCTTGTTAGGTCTCAGTGATGACATGTGCAATGGATACCTTTGAAATTCTGGGAAACCTTCATTTGGTATCTTCATTTTTTGGAGGGGTGCTCATTTTGACATAAACCAAACAACTGCAAGCTTTATAACTGGATTCAAGGAAGATGCAAGATTAATCCCAGGTTGGAGGAACCGGTGTGTGATTAATTGCTATGGTATCAAAATAACTTAATAGGCCTCCTGCACATTTTATTACAGGGTCGAAGCCTTCAGGGCACTGTAATAAATTCATGATTTAAATAGTTTAGTTAAGTCTCCTGCTTTCTAAACATGTGTTAGGGAAATGTCTTGGCAATTTAACAGCAATGATTTTATGATTCTAAGTATATGTGGTAGTGACTAGGGTTGTGGTTACTTAAATCCAAAGAACTCAGAATAAAGCATGATCTCTTTTGCCCTTTAATATTGCACAAGATTAAAGTCATCTGCCCAGAATAGTCTGCATTTCCGCCTTCCCTAAGCATCTATTTTTTTCTTTTAATCATTAATACTTAGCAGCTACTTGTGAGGGTTGTCTTTACTAGTTATATAAAATAATATTAATGTCTTTTATCAAGTGACCTTCACCCTGTCCTTCTGTTTAGGTGCAAATGAAGAGTTTTGATTCTCTTTGACATAATTTTTTCCAGCAGATCATCTTAGGGCACCATTCTTGGTGTATTTCATGAATTAATATTTATTGACTTACTTGTGGCAAGAAAGGGAAGTTCTAATTCCACATCCTGAAATGTTTTATTTATATATTTCATGTTTTATATGCACGCACACATACCCTTCTCCTTTTTTTTCTATATAGAATGACTGATAATATAGAAATGGGAGTTTCAAGGGCTTTTAGTGGAAGCAGTGTTAACCATAAATGACATAGGCAATCATCACCCACCTCTTCACACCATCCAAATTGTTTTTTGATTGAATCCCTTACTACTAGTGAAAGTAACAAGAAATTCTAAGAAGAAATTGACATTCCTTAGAAAAATTGAGAATTGTGCATTTCTTCTGGGGAAAAAGATGCAAATAGTGTTTTCTTGATTATGACGTATTTTTCCTCCTCCTTCTTTCTGTTTACCTAATAAATCAAACCAATGGTTCTGAGGCATAGAGGAGCCAAAGTCATGTTTAATACAGGAAGAATATGCGTACCGCCAGGTTGTTGGGTTTTTCCTTGTAAATAACATCTTTAATTTTAATCAGAAATGATGATGACATTGCTATATTTTGGCATAGCCTTTGAAGCTTATGCAGGAGACCTGTGATTTGATGGTGGCACAAGTATGCTTGCATAGATCACCAAGTCAGCCACAGTTATCT